TACTGTAGACCCAGGCATGGAAACAAACTGTAGTCTTGCTTGGGAAGCTCATTTGCCTGAGACGAAATTTGCCAATGTAATGTCATGCTTTATTTATAAATAGGTCCAGTGTTTTTCCATAGACACAGTCTGATTATGATGAAATCCCAGAGCCTTAACGCTGGTATAAATGCACATAGAACACCACCATAGTCAGGAGGGTTAAGAAATGTTGAAAACTTGCCAGATTGAAAATATTTCAAACTTTCACTCAAAAGACAACACAAAACAAAAGTTTTGTGTTGATACCGCACTGAAAAGGTCCTGTTTTTCCCCCGTATCTGCACTAAACAGTTGTGTTGTGTGATCCCTAGTCTCAAACAGCTGTCTTACCCCCCCCCCCCCCTATAATTTGGAGTTGAAAGTCAGTGTAAAAATATATTTCATCAAAGACAGAACATATGTTTTACGGGGAAAGAGAAGGCTTAACTAGGTTTGGCCCTCTAGAAGCATCAGAATGACCCTGTCCATGCTGAATCATTTCCCAGAAGCTGTTGTAATAAGTCATTAAAGAAATCCCCCTTAAATTCTTCTGGTGGAAGTGGGTGTGCTCTGTGTGCCTTATAAGTTCTCTAATGCGGATACAGCCTTGTAACATGAGCCTAGAAGATTGCAGCTGGTGAGTAGCTTGTGTTTGCCTGGGTTCTGTGTCGTTCGGCCTCATTGTACAAAGATCTCATTAATGCTTCGGTGCGTTTACATTTTCTGATCTTATCCTATAGTAGCTGCCAGGTTTGTTTAGTAGAGTAATGCTGGTCAGTATAGCAGATCTTCAGAATGGTTTTGCTAAATTTAAGGAACATTTTTTAATGAGTGCAACTGTTAGGGGCCAAAAAACAACAAGGAATTTATATAGCTTTGAATAAAATTGCCTTTTAAAGTGTGCTGCTGAGCTCATATTGCCTATCTTATGAAAAATGGTAAATGCCTCTCCCGATACCATATTATGTTAATAGGGTAATTGGTTATAATTGTTTTACCCTAATCTTTTTGGCTTTGGAAAGAAGAGTAATTGTGGGCTTGTTCTCCACTTTTTGTGTGTGTCAGGAGAGACTTGAGAAACTGCAAGTCGCTTCTGGTGTGAGAGAATTGGCCACCTGTAAGTACATTGCCCAGGGGGTGCCCAGATGTTTGATGTTTTACCATCTTGTGGGAGGTTTCTGTCATGTCCCCACATGGGAAACTGGAGCTGTGATGGGAACTCACCTCAAACCACCAACCTGTCTGTCAGCAGTCCTGCCGGCACAAGGGTGTTTGTCACTTTTAAAAAGTTACTGTAACAGTGGGTTGTTGTAGTTTTTTTCGGGCTATTTGGCCATGTTCTAGAAGCATTCTCGCCTGACGTTTTGCCTGCATCTATGGCAAGCATCCTCAGAGGTAGTGACTTTTGGACTTTTCCATTTGTCACTGTACTGATAGCTTATTCCAATTATCAGAAGCTTTAAACAAGAGTAACGGTATATACCAAATTGTTTCTCAATTTTTCAGCAAACTATCAAAGCCTAACATTGTAAGGAAAAAAAGATGTTAGCACCAAAGATGTTTGTGAAGTTTTAACTAGCTGTGGAAGCGGAGTACATCCTGTAACTGTAGAAATATTATGATTGGCGTAGTGAATATTGAACAAACTGTTGTCTAGACAACTGGTGGTCTGATGAATAAGGTCCTGAAATGATAAAATGAACTGATTCAGATGGAAAAATCTAGTGGTAACACTGAAGTAGAATGACCAAAAACAAGAATGGTGGTAGTCCTTCAGTTCCTTACAAGCCGAGGGCTGTGTAAATGCAGACATACTATTTCTAGTCCATTTTCTCTTTCATTTCTTTTCTACTTACTCTTTCTTTAATCTCCCATTTTCTCTACTGTTTCTCCCTTATCTGTCTCCTACACACTCAATATACATACATAAAAAGTGCACCATCTATTACATCCACCCAGCAACCACCTTAGATGCATATATGTTATTGTCGGAGGAATAGAAGATATATACACGTTCTGTGGATTAGTACTTCAATGTTGCTATCTCTCAATTTCTGATGCATAGTTCTTTTGTTACAACTCATCTGTCCCTTATACAGTAGGATCTCGCTTATCCAACCTTCGCTCATCCAATGTTCTGTATTATCCAATGCAGTCTGCCTCCCACCCAGGATAATGTTCAGAGTGGATTTGTCTGTTTGGTGCTAAATTCGTAAATACAGTAATTGCTACATAACGTTACTGTGTACCGAACTGCTTTTTCTGTTGATTTGTTGTAAAACATATTTTGGCTCTTCATTTGTAAAATTGTAATGCAATTTGACATTTAATAGGCTTTTCTTTAATCCATCCTTATTATCCAACATTTTTGTTTATCCAACGTTCTGCCAGCCCGTTTATGTTGGATAAGCGAGACTCTACTGTATCTTGTTTATTTATTATGGATTATGTGATTTTAATATTTATACTAGGATGTTTTAATGCTTAAATGTTTATGTCTCATGTTTAATGATTTAAATGATTTAATTAATAGTTATACTAGCCATCCCCTCCCACGCATTGCTGTGGCGCAGTCTGGTTATCTGGAAAGTAATTAGAAAGTGTTGGTTTCTAATATATGTAATTTCTTTATGTTTATGGGTAAACAGTATTTATTGCTGTTTCTTTGTCAGTGTTGATGTGGAGATTGTCTGGTTTGCTTACTCTGGAACATGCAACATAATATTGTCCTTCTTTAGGGATCCCTTTCAAATCTATGATACTATATCTGTGTGTGTGTGTGTGTGAATCATATATATCTATATCTATGGCTGGATGGCTCTTTGTCAAGGAGGGCTTTGATTACGTTTTCTTGCTCTGGTGAAGGGAGGTGGACTTGATGGCCTTAAGTATGGGGTTTTGTGTGGGAATTTTGCGCCAATTCTGCCATTGGTGGGGTTCAGCATGCTCTTTGATTGTAGGTGAACTATAAATCCCAGTAACTACAACTCCCAAATGTCAAGGTCTATTTCCCCCAAACTCCATCTGTGTTCATATTTCGGTATATGGAATATTCTTTTCAAATGTGGTCCAGATCCTTCATTGTTTGAGTCCACAGTGCTCTCTGGATGAAGGTGAACTTCAACTTCCAAACTCAAGGTCATTGCCCACCAAACCCTTCTAGTGTTTTCTGTTGGTCATGGGAGTCCTGTGTGCCACGTTTAGTTCAATTCCATCGTTGGTGGAGTTCAGAATGCTCTTTGATTGCAGGCTAACTATAAATCCCAGCAACTACAACTCCCAAATGACAAAATCAATTTTTTGAGTGATGGTCACTCCTTGGGTTAGTAGGGTGCCTTGTGGCCAAATTTGATGGCAATTCATCCAGTAGTTTTTGAGTTATATTAATCCCACAAACGAACAATATATTTTTATTTATATAGATGTTAGTGCTTAGTTATTATGATTTTTTTCTCTCCACATGTATGTTGGCATTGAATTTTTGCCATTAATATGTTGTAAACTATCTTGAGCCCCCCTGGGGTGAGAAAGGGGGTATATAAATATCGTAAATACATAATAAATAAATATTTATCTCTAAAACTACTGAAGAGCTGGAATATCCAAAACTATTTCAGTAGGGAACATTCGGAGGTGGTTTTGCCCTTTCCTTCCTCTGAAATCCAGCCTATGTCATCTTGGATCCATTGGTGGTTTCCTATCCAAGTTCTAAGTAGGACTGACCCTGCTTGGTTTCCAGGATCAGACAGGATTTGGTACATTTAGGGCATTTTTTAAAGCACTGAAATATGGCAAGAGATAGCAAACTTAATTGCAGTTCTTCAAGTTATTCTTTGCCTTTGATATACGAATATATTTCTACATCGCCTTTTACAGAACTCAGTCTCCTCTCATTTTCTTAGTGAGTTGGTAAAAGTGTTTCATTTATAGAAGTTAAGAGGTTATATGATTACATATGCAGAGGGAAAGTTTCTAATTATATAAATGAAAGATAAGTATTCTTCAATGCTGGCAGATGTGGGATAACTGGGTTTTGAAAAAAAGGGTTCGATAGTCCTCAGGCTTCATATTATCTGTGCTGGTATGCTTTTCATCTGCTTGTAATTATGGATGTATAGGTTTAATTGCAAACCTATACAACAGTGTTTTTCAACCTTCCAAATGCTGTGACCCCTTAATACGGTTCCTTATGTTGTGGTGACCCCCAACCGTAACATTATTTTGTTGCTACTTCACAACTGTAATTTTGCTGCTGTTATGAATTGCTATGTAAATATTTGATATGCAGGTGGGTTGGCAGAGGGGGGTGTTACTGAACTTCATTTGGAAGTTCTAGTTGCTGGGATTTATAGTTAACCTCCAATCAAAAAGCATTCTGAACTCCACCAACAATGGAATTGAACCAAACTTGGCACACAGAACTCCCATGACCAACAGAAAATACTAGAAGGGTTTGGTGGGCATTGACCTTGAGTTTTGGAGTTGTAGTTCACCTACATCCAGAGAGCACTGTGGACTCAAACAATGATGGATCTGGACCAAACTTGGCACAAATACTCAATATGTCCAAATGTGAACACTGGTGGAGTTTGGGGAAAATAGACCTTGACATTTGGGAGTTGTAGTTGCTGGGATTTATAGTTCATCTGCAGTCAAAGAGCATTCAGAACCCCACTGACGACCCCCTATACCCCCCCCCCCCCCCCAGGGTCCCAGGTTGAAAAACACTGCTATACAAAGTTCTTGATAATCGAACATTTTAAGAAACCAGCACTGAAGACTTTGTCCCAATACTGGATGTTATGAACTTTGTGTGATCGCTTTGTATTCTTTCTACACAACAAAAAAGGGACACAAATTGCCTTTACCATAATATACATGTACACATACACTTCTGTTAGTAAACAAAAATATAATGATGCAAAGTAGCGATATAATTGCTAAAAATTACTAACTTTGGGGATCTGTTTTTATCACAGATACATACAACGTTTGTTCCTCAACTCTTCGTGGATTGAATTGATTCTGAAAATCACATTTCTGTTGGATATATTGTAAGTATTCATGTTCAACTTGCCAATATTTAGTCATGGTTTTTGTTTGTTTGTTTTATGGACATGCAAGAGTTGGACTCTATCAGATAGAGTAGTAATAAGAAATACGGCAGTAGAGAATTAAAATCTGCTTCTGCATTTCCAATGTATAAGTGATTGCAAGAGTAAGTTTTTAAATATATTTTAATGCATAAAATCCTAATTAGAATTATATCCTAATGGATAACATAGAGCTTTCTGCCCATTTTGGAGATAACAGTTGGTATTGGGGAAACAGGCTTCTTTAAGCAGTTTTATCTTGAGGAGCAGAAGAGAAAAATGAACTTAAGATTCACATGTTTCTGTATAATATATGGATAAGGTCTAGATTGCTGTACCAGCACTTGCTTTTTTTTCTTTTTGTCAATCGTTCAAGACAGTCATCCCTCTACATTTGAGACTTTGACTTTTGTGGATTTGATTATTCTGGGATTTGCTGAAAACTGTTCTTTCTAGGAATCTCTTGAGTCCTCCAGTGTGACTTTATGGTCAGCTTTCCCCAGCTTAGTTGGAGAACTTAGACATTTCTAAAGAGAACACCTCTCTAGCTTATTTTTCAGTCCGACTCTATGGTCAGCATCCAGCAAAAGTTGATCATAGAGTTAGACCTAGAACTTCCTCCAGAAATTAGCCATTTCTTTGGGTTGCTGTGAGCTTTCTGGGGCTATCTGGCCATGTTCAAGAAGCATTATCTCCTGATGTTTTGCCCACATCTGTGGCAGGCATCCTCATTGTCTTGGAACAGTTTCTCCCCGTAGAAATGTTCAGTGTGTTGTCAAAGGCTTTCATGGTCGGAATCACTGGGTTGCTGTGAGTTTTCTGGGCTGTATGGCCATGTTGTGACGTCACATGCAACTCCTGGAACGATTCCATCAGCGCTGCCTCCGGAAAATCCTGCAAATCTCTTGGGAAGACAAGCAGACAAACGTCAGCATGCTGGAAGAAGCAAAGACCACTAGCATTGAAGCAATGGTCCTCCGCCATCAACTCTGTTGGACCGGCCATGTTGTCTGGATGCCCGACCACCGTCTCCCAAAGTAGTTGCTCTACTCTGAACTCAAGAAAGGAAAATGTAATGTTGGTGGACAGGAAAAGAGATTGAAAGATGGGCTGAAAGCCAACCTTAAAAACACTGGCATAGACACTGAGAACTGGGAAGCCCTGGCCCTTGAGCGCTCCAGCTGGAGGTCAGCTGTGACCAGCAGTGCTGCAGAATTTGAAGAGGCACGAATGGAGGGTGAAAGGGAGAAGCATGCCAAGAGGAAGGCGTGCCAAGCCAACCCCGACTGAGACCGCCTTCCACCTGGAAACCAACGCCCTCACTGTGGAAGAAGATGCAGAGCAGGAATAGGGCTCCACAGCCACATACGGACCCACAAGAATACTGGAAGACAATCCTCCTTGGAAAACGAGGGATCGCCTAAGTAATGGCCATGTTATAGAAGCATTATCTCCTGATATTTTACCCACATCTATGGCAGGCATGCTCAGAGGTTGTGAGGTCTGTTGGAAAGTAGGTGAGTGGGATTTATATATCTGTGGAATGTTCTGGGTGGGGGAAAGAACTCTTGTCTGTTGGAGGTGAGTGTGAATGTTATAATTGGGCCAACTTGATTAGCATTGAACAGCCATGCAGATTCACACCTCCCAACAAAGGATTCTCCTGGCAGGAAGCAGCCAGGCTTTGAAGCTGCAAGGCTATTCAGTGCTAATCAAGTTGACCAATTGCAACATTCACACTTGCCTCAGGCAAACAACTGATCTTTTCCCCACCCTGAACATTCCACAGATATAAAACCCCCACTTGCCTAGTTTCCAACAGACCTTACAACCTCTGAGGATGCCTGCCATAGATGTGGGCAAAATGCCAGGACAGAATGCTTCTGAGACATAGCCATATAGTCCTAAAAGCTCAAAGCAACCCAGTGGTTCCAACCATGAAAGCCTTGGACAATACCGCAATGTCTTTATTGGTGGCCTTTCACTTTTATAGGAGCCCAGTACTTCTAGACCCAGGCAAATGTGGAGGGCTGACAGTACTAACCTTTCACATCTGTGTTATTCACCAGAACACCAAATTATAATATTCACTTTGCTTACTGTATGTTTGTAGCTTATGTGAACCCTGTGCTTACTGCAGTGTTGAATTAACTGGATTTCTTTTTTAAAAATCATAATGGAATTTAAGAAAATAATATTGCTTTTGCATGCAAGTGTTGGGACTTCTTCTTGGAAAATATCAGAATACTTTATTGATAAGCCACAACAGTGCCAACTGTTTCAGAGTAGGAATGAGTGTCTCAATATGCCACTGGGATAAAGCAGAAACTAACTATATTATGCCAAAATTGCCATTTGATCCAGCTGCTAGCCGTTAGTCATGCCAGTTCTCCAGAAAATATTCAAAAGCAGCAACGATGTAATATCCTCTTATTAGGAACAACGGAAATGTCACAAAATAGCAGGATTTGAAGTTCCGGGCAAGCTGTTGACTAAATCCAGCAATTTTTGGATTCTTACAGCTTCATAATTTTCCACTGCTTCTTGTGAACAGATCTTAAGAAGCCTACGTCTGACACACATGGGACCCCAAGATGTATGCATGTCTTGAACATGTCATTTGTCCTTTGTCGTAAAAGTAAACTTCCAAGTTCTGCTTGTGGAGGAAATTGGGGGGGGGGGTGTTACTGAAATTCAACAAGCTTTATAATAAGGTAAAGGTTTCCCCTTGACATTAAGTCTAGCTGTGTCCAACTCTGGGGGGTGCTACCCATCTCTATTTCTAAGCTGAAGAGCCGATGTTGTCCATAGACACCTCCTAGGTCAGTGGTTCTCAACCTGTGGGTCCCCAGATGTTTTAACCTACAACTCCCAGAAATCCCAGCCATTTTACCTGCTGTTAGGATTTCTGGGAGTTGTAGGCCAAAACATCTGGGGACCCACAGGCGGAGAACCACTGTCCTAGGTCATGTGGCCGGCATGACTGCATGGAGCATTGTTACCTTCCCGCCAGAGCACTACCTATTGATCTACTCACATTTGCATGTTTTTGAACTGCTAGGTTGGCAGAAGCTGTGGCTAACAGCAGGAGCTCACCCCACTCTGTGGATTGGAACTGCTGACCTTCCAATCAGCAAGTTCTGCAGCTTAGTGGTTTAATCCACTGCGCCACCGTTGCCCCAAGCTTTATATAGTCAGCATCTATTATTCTTTCAAAATCCCAATAGTAGTAGTAGTAGTAGTAGTAACAACAACTTTATTTTTATACCCTGCCTCCATCTCCCAGGAGGCACTCAGGACATCTTACATGGGGACGAGCCCGAACAAACATTGTTCAAATATAACATACTAAAATATAAAAACAACAGAATAAAACAACAACTTTAAACAGAATATAAGAGCAACCATCAAACCAACAACAAACCTGCAATAATAAACAATTTATAACTTAATTGTAAGGATAGGGCTGGTGGGTAAAGTGTGTAAATCAAATGGCATCATTAGGGATAGAGGGCAATGTAAGATGGAACATTATGACTTTGGGTACAGAGCAGTAGTAAAGTGTGAGGACGAGATTTTGGGTCCTGGTTACGGCCAGCTTATCTAGGGGATTGTCTAATCAAAAGCACATCCCTATTTGAAGAGTTGCCACTTCCTTCCCATTTGTCAGTATTAGATCCCGGCGTACAGCAACTGAGGCTGATCTAATCTGTCTTGACTTTGTTTTAACAACAGTCTCTGATAAAAGGCCCATAAATCAGATATGTTTTCAGAAGAGAATTGTGAGATCGCTTTCTGAATAGGGGCTCCTTCCACATGAGAAGGTGCAAAACATGCCTGTTGGAATGCTTCCCTAACAAAACAGATCTCTGCATGTTTACGGTTGGATAGGATAAAAGGCCTTGGTTTTGTCAGGTCGGATGATGAGCTATGAAAACCTTCAGTGAATTTTTTTTTAGAGAATTTTGCAATAACTGTTGATTGGGACAGGGTGTTGCTTTGACCTGCCAAGAAATCTGGAAGTAAGCACGTCTGTAAACAAAGGATTGATGCAGCTTCCGAAAGGCCTAAGCAGCACTGGTCAGTCTGTCCTAGCTCTTGCACAAATATTTAAAGAAAAGGGATTTGGACTTTTGACCACAGCGATGCAATGATTACATTGCTTACGTGGATTAAAAGCATCAAATTTAAGGACAGCATATGTCTCCAGACCTTTAAACTTTGGAAGTAGGAGTGGGGAAGAGACTTGGAACAAATATTTACTTCTTTTCTGATCCGTCTTAATGTGAAACCAGTTATTTCAACTACCAGTACCTAGCTACACTTTGAAATGAAACTAATCAGGAATGGATGCTAACAAATGTTACTAATTTTTTCCCCTCTGCTTGCTGGTTACCTGTGATTTTCAACTTCTTCTGCTGGCTTCCAAATGTTTCTAACCTATCTGTGATTTTGCTAAAACTGCACCACCCAAAACTTCGTGTTCTGCTTTTGTCTGCTGCGGTTGCTACTGCTTCCAGTTTGCCTTGAGAGAACTCAGACTCTTGAAATCCCCAAAGGACAGGAGACAGATCAAAATAGACTGAGAAAGGAAAAAAAAATCTTTCGACGATGAATTTTAAGCTCAGGCTACGCACCCTTCTCTTGCTCCCTGTGTACCTCTTGATCAATGTGTACAGTACCCTTGTATTCATACCATGGTATTTTCTTACCAATGCAAAGAAGAAAAAAGCAATGGCAAAGCGTTTAAAGGCTAAGCCCGTCTCGGAGAACCCCGGAAGCCCGTACCGATCAATTTCACATATTGAGTCACTAGCCACCATAGACTTTCCTGGAGCGGACACTCTGGATAAATTGTTCGACTACGCCGTAACCAGGTTTGGGAAAAAGGACTGCCTTGGAACCAGAGAGATCCTGAGTGAAGAGAATGAAATGCAGCCCAATGGAAAAGTATTCAAAAAGGTAATGGCATCTGTAGATATTTCAAGATTGTGAATTGGGTGGGTAGTCTGCCAATCTGGCTTCCCAACAAGCCGGGATCAGTAAAGAAAGCACTAAGAGGGTGAGATATTACAGAATATTCAGGTCATGATCTAAAGATGAAGGTATTAAAATGGAGAAGATATTGGAATTCTAACCAAAAGGGATACATTGTTAATACGGCTAGTGCTTGAAGCTATATATCAATTTTAAATGTTTTTATTTATATTTAGCAGAAGCCAGTATGTAGTTATGTAGAATGAGAAGTACCATATGTACTTGAGTATAAGCCAACCTGAATATAAGCTGAGGAACCTAATTTTTCCACACAAAAAACTGGGAAAACATATTGACTCAAGTATAAGCTGTGGGTGGGAAATGCAGCAACTACTGGTAAATTTTAAGATACCAATAACATTACATTAATTGTGACATCAGTAGTTTAAAGGTTTTTGAATATTTGCATAAAACTGTAATTTAAGATAAAACTGTCCAACTCTGATTAAACCATTATTCTAACCTTCTTCAATGTAAATGTGCCTTCGCATCCTTCCAACAGTAATAGAATAAAATAATGTAATAATAATAATAGAGTAAAATAATAAATGTAATAATAAAGAGTGTAAAGTAATAAATGCAATAATAATAAAGTAAAATAATAAATGCAATAATAATAGAGTAAAATAATGTAATAATAATGAATAGAGTAAAATAATAAATGTAATGAAAATAATATTAACAGAGTAAAATAATAAATAACTGACTCGCACATAAGCCAAGGGGGGCTTTTTCAGCCTAAAAAAAGGGGTGAAAAACTCAGCTTATACTTGAGTAATATGGTATATGTAATAGTTTGATTTGCTTGTAGAGGGGGAAAGTGCTTTTAATGTGTGGGTCTTTTAAAAATATTTTGTGTGTATTTTTTTCTATTTAATTGTTTTAGTTTTGTTTATTATATGGGGAATGGTGGTTGGCTGTTGGTTCATTTTGTGGAAGTGGATTGTGGGGATTTTGGAGTTTGTATTTGTATTTTGTTTGTGTTTTAAATTAAATGTGTAAGTAATAAAGAGAGCACTGGATTTTTTTTACAGTAGAAATATTTAAATGTTAATTTCAGATCTCATTATCCATTCTATTACTTTGTAAAAATGGGAAACATATAAACTTTTGTATAGTTTTGCTTCCAACATTGGATTTTATTTTTTAAAAATACACTGTGTATGGTGGTTTTTCCACAGCAATAGTGATTTTCCTAAAGAGCATTAAAAGGTTTAGATCAGATATGGGCAACTTGGGCCCTCCAGGTGTTTTGGACTTCAACTCCCACAATTTCTAACAGCCTCAGGCCCTTTCCTTTCCCTTCTCCCTTTCCTTTTCAGCTTAAGCGGCTAGGGGGGAAAAGAAAGGGGCCTGAGGCTGTTAGGAATTGTGGGAGTTGAAGTCCAAAATACCTGGAGGGCCAAAGTTTGCCCATATCTGGCTTAGATGCTAGGTGCTCATCCTTTTTGTCATTCTTGCTCTTTTATATTCATGCATATGTTTCAAGGAATTTAGCAGTTTACCAAGCAAATGTTTCCTCTCTAATCAGCTAATCCTTGGAAGTTATCGGTGGCTAAACTATGAAGACATGAACCAGAAACTGAACCACTTGGGCAGCGGTCTTGCGGCACTTGGGTTAAAGCCAAAGAGCACGGTTGCTATCTTCTGTGAAACCCGAGCCGAATGGATGCTTGCAGCACAAACCTGTTTCCGATATAACTTTCCTCGTGAGTCCTGATAAAATGTTTGATATGTATAAACTCCTAGAAAAATAGGTCTGTTGCCACTGATTTGGGGGCACTCCATTTCTTCTCATGGGCTTTTCCAGGTCACAAGAATAAGTCCAAGAATTAGTGCTTTTAACGGCTTATTAGGGACATTGTTACATAAAGCACACAAGATAAAAATAATGATATATGATTAGGAATTGTCTTCATATTTATATATCCCTGAGGTTTGACTTTATTGTTTATTTATTTACTTACTTTATTTATACCCCGCCTATCTCACCCCGCAGGGGACTCCAAAAGCGGCTTAAAAAGCCTGGCAAAAATTCAACACTGCGTATTAGACAACCATAAAACAAGCCACATCAAACTACAAAACAATTAAAACATGAAAACAAATTAACACACACAAAAGCAAGAAAATAAAATTTAAAACATCACCAATTAAACCATTATAAAGTGCTGAGTCTTGGTTTCCATACATATTTGCTTTCTCATGGTCATTATTCAAGTTGTTGGGGTCGATTCTGCGTTAACCTATTCTCTGAAAGCCTATGTACAAAGCCAGGTCTTTAGCCTTTTCCTGAAGACCAGGAGGAATGGGACCAGCCTGATGTCACCAGGGAGGGAGTTCCACAACCAAAAGGCCACCATAGAGAAGGCCCCGTCTCTCATCCCCACCAGTCACACTTGCAAGGAGGGTGGGACCGAGAGCAGGGCCTCCTCAGCATATCTTAAAGCTCCAGTTGGCTCATAAGATGACATTGTGACTTTGTTTTATTGTTTTAATTAATGTTATATGTATTTGATTGTGTTATATTATTGTAATTGTGATGCAGCGGTCTTGCACCTTTACTAATGTAAGCCGTCTTGAGTCCCCCTTTGGGGGTTGAGAAGAGACGGGATACAAATGCCAGCAATAAAATAAATAATAATAAAGGGAGATATGGTTTGACAGTTGAATTGGACCAGAACCATTTAGAGCAGTGTCTCTCAACCTGTGGGTCCCCAGATGTTTTGGCCTGCAACTCCCAGAAATCCTAACAGCTAGTAACCTGGCTGGGATTTCTGGGAATTGAAAGCCAAAGGTTGACAACCACCGGTTTAGCGCTTTATAGGACTTGAAATTGTGCCTGGTAGCAAACTGGCAGCCAGTGGAGGTGACATAACGGGGGGGGGGGGGTGTATGCTCTCTGTATACTGTTCCAGTTAGGAATCTGGCTGCTGCCCACTTGCTTCTGGACAGTCTTCAAAGGCAGCCCCACGTAGAACGTGTTGCAGTAGTCTATACAGGATGTAACAAGAGTGTGAATACATCTGAAATATGAAACAGTCATGAAGAAATCTGTATATTTTCCCAAAATCATTTTATTCCTTAAGCCACTAGAGGTTTTATTGCTTGAGCTATTTTCTCCCCTTTTATGACACAGTGGTTACATTATATGCGACCCTTGGAGAAGAAGCAGTAACCTATGGCTTGAATGAATCTGGGGCATCGTATCTGATCACTAGCACAGACCTTTTGGAAGGCAAACTTAAGGTAAGTCCTACTCCGATTACTTCATCTAGTCAGTGGATAATGATAGAGATCTTGCGGTATTTTTGGATTGAGTTGTTTGGAGACAGTGGAAAAAAACCAAGAGGGCCCAAGGTAGTAATAATTCCACATGGAAGAAACCATTCCAGCTGAAATGTTTGAGAATGTGAAAACCTGTAGTTATTTATTTATTTATTTATTTATTTACGACATTTATATGCCACCCTTCTCACCCCAAAGGGGACTCAGAGCAACTTACAAAATATATACATACACACACGCGCGCACACACATACAATACATTACACCATTAGCACACTACAATATCAGCGCTATACGTCACTATATTGTACTATACAATTATATTGTAATATTATTAGTAATATTACATGTAATATAAAATATATAATTATAATATCATATTATTAATATTAGTATTATACTGTATTACATAATATTATAAATATTATATGTATATACAATATATTATATTACATTAATAATATAATATAATGTGCATTTTGCAATCAGATTACAAAGCCTGATCAAGAAAGTCTTGAGTAAGTTGGCTTTATAATTTTGTTTTTGAAAATCCCATGAAACTGACCATATGGAGCAACATTCCTACCAGTTGTAGCATTCTTGGAAGGGTAAACACATAAGAAAACTAAATTGATTGTATGGCTCTTTTTAATCAATGACTATAGTCCCATTTTACTGATTCTATTTAATAGAGGTTGCTTTTGCTAATTTTACATGTCTGGTTTTATGTAAATGTGTTACTGATTTTATATGTTGATGTATTGCATTTTATGTGTTGTATGGCACCATTGTGGCTATTCTGTAAGCCGCCAATGAGTCCCTATGGGAGATGGTGGCAGGGTATAAATAATGATGGTGGTGATTATTATGCTTCCTGGTTGCTCTAGCTTTTGCATGCTGAGGTTGCCAAACCCTATGTACTATCTTTCCACTAGAGAGAGTGATAGACAGCAAAGTGAATGAATGCCACCCATTCTAGGCCAGTTTGAGTATATTTGGGGAGGGGAGGAGGATGAGGGACAAGAGATGCATCCAAATAGCTGAGTTTTATGTTAACCAACCAACCCTAAACAACTACTACTTCTTCATCAGAACACATTGTCAGAAATCCACAACCTCAGACATATTATTTATGTGGATAATAAGACCATCAACACATCAGACTATCCGAAAAGACTGGAGATTCATAGTATGCAAGCGGTAGAAGAGCTGGGAGCCAAACCAGAAAATTGTAAGTTGATGAGCTGAAAGGCGAGTATGGCTGTTTATGCACAGCAAGATGCCCTTTCCCATATATTTTAATATATTTTAATTGTGCTTTTACAATGTTGTCCTTCTAATAAAAATATAAGCAACATCTTCGGTATAGGAGAGCAATATTGACTGTTTATTTTGATATTAGTTATCTGAGCCATTCAAATTTCATAGAATCCTAGAGTTGGAAGGGACCTCGTGAGTCATCCAGTCCAACCCCATTCTGCCAAGAAGCAGGAAAATTGCATTCAAAGCATCCCCGACAGATGGCCATCCAGCCTCTGTTTAAAAGCCTCCAAAGAAGGAGCCTCCAACACACTCAGAGGCAGAGAGTTCCACTGCTGAACAGCTCTCACAATGAGGAAGTTCTTCCTAATGGTCAGGTGGAATCTCCTTTCCTGTAGTTTGAAGCCATTATTCTGCGTCCTAGTCTCCAGGGCAGCAGAAAACAAGCTTGCTCCCTCCTCCCTATGACTTCTCCTCACATCTTGATAGATCAGGGGTCCACAAACTTTTTAAACAGAGGGCCAGGTCACAGTTCCTCAAACTGTTGGAGGGCCGGATTATAATTTGAAAAAATCATGAATGAATTCCTATGCATACCACATATCTTATTTGTAGTGCAAAAATTACTTAAAAACAATACAATAATTAAAATGAAGAACAATTTAACAAATATAAACGTATTAGTATCTCAATGGGAAGTGTGGGTCTGCTTTTGGCTCATGAGATAGGATTGTTGTCATTGTTGTTGTGTGCTTTCAAGTCATTTCAGACTTAGGTTGACCCTGAGCGAGGGCCGGGTAAATGACCTTGGAAGGCCGCATCCGGCCCCCGGGCCTTAGTTTGAGGACCCCTGTGGTAGATGATCCTCATCATGTCTCCTCTCAGCCTGCTCTTCTGCAGGCTAAACATGCCAAGCTCTTTAAGCTGCTCCTCATAGGGCTTGTTCTCCAGACCCTTGATTATTTTAGTCGCCCTCCTCTGGACAACATCTCCCTTCAATTGTGGTGCCCAGAATTGAACACAGTATTCCAGGTGTGAGCCCCCAGTGGTGCAGTAGGCTAAACCGCTGAGCTGCAGTGCTGACTGAAATGTTGGCAGCTCGAATCCAGGAAGCAGGATGAGCTCTCCTTGTTAGCCCCAGCTTCTGCCAATCTTGCAGTTCAAAATCATGCAAACGTGAGTAGATCAATAGGTACCGCTTTGGCGGGAAGGTAATGGCACTCTGTGCAGTCATGCTGGCCACATGACCTTGGTGGTGTCTATGGACAATGCTGGCTCTTCAGCTTAGAAATGGAGATGAGCACCACCCCCCAGAGTCAGACTCGACTAGACTTAATGTCAAGGAGAAACCTGTACGTATTCCAGGTTTGGTCTGACCATGGCAGAATAGAGGGGTAGCACGACTTCCTTGGATTTAGACACTATACTCCTTTTTATGCAGGCCAAAATCTCATTGGCTTTTTTCGTTGCCACATGACATTATTGACTCATGTTCCTCTTCCTGTCCACAAGGATTTCAAGATCTTTTTTACATGTTCTGCTATCAAGCCAGGCATCCCTCATTCTGTATCATTGCATTTCATTTTTCTACCTTACGTAGTCTTTCTTATGTAGCATCTTTGACACTATGGCAAAGAAGTTGATAGCATAAGCTTTTGTAGACTTTAAAACTACTTACTTTAGCTTTCATCTGATGTAGTAATCTAAAGTTTACAAAAGCTTATGACTTACAGTCCCAAAGGTGGGTCAAAATCCCTTTGCATACTCATTTTCCAGACAACGATGTCTTAAAACAACAGCCCTGATTCATGATTACATTGCATTTCCTAAGATGGCAGAGTAGCTTTTGATCAGCTAAATCATGCTTCATAATATCCTTCATTTTATATAGAACTTGCATGCAGTGCTGACGAGAGAAAGAGAGAAACCTGTCTTTCTTCCGTAAGCAGCTCCATGAATAAAACATTGTTATACACTGAAATATGTTTACCAGTCAGGGTGGCCATAGGGCAGGTACCTATTCTGAGAACTGAGGAGTGCTCTGACAGGATGTGCTTCTTTCTGGTTTAATATGTCTGGTTTAAAATTGTCACAGAAGTACTATGTAGATATGGCATGTAAATCTTCCCTTGCCATTTTCTGTCTGATGGGAATTACAAGTGATTTAGAAGCAGGTCTTCTGTGAATGTACAATTCACAGTAAATAAATAAAATAAGCTGGGGCTAGCTACCGGAGCTCACCCCACTCTGCATATTTGATCTCCTGATCCGCCAGCTTTTGAGGCTGGCAGGCAGAGGCCTCGGTGTGCTCCCTTCTCTCTTTGATCCCCAAAGAAGGACAACAAAAACTCTTGCTTCCGTCATGTTCTTCACAGAGGACTGAGTAGTTATGTACCCTGTTGTAAATACTGAGAGCAAAAGTAGTTCTGCCTTATTTTGTGAGGTAGAGAGAATTGTATTAATCTGGTGGTGCAGCAGGTTAAATTACTGAGCTGCTGAACTTGCTGACCGAAAGGTCAGCGGATCGAATACGCGGAGCGAGGTGAGCTCCGGCTGCTAGCCCCAGCTTATTTTATTTATTTATTTCAAACATTTATATTCCATCCCTCAGGGAAGACCACAATATATATACAGCAAACATTCAATGCCAACCTAGCAGTTTGAAAACATGCAAATGTGAGTAGATCAATAGGTGCCGCTTCTGCAAGAAGATAACAGTGCTCCATGCAATCATGCTGGCCACATGACCTTGGAGGCATCTACGGACAATGCCGGCTCTTTAGTTTAGGAAATGGAGAAGTGCACCACATCTCCATTTCCTAAGCGGGGTGAGCTCCTGCTGCTAGCCCCAGCCTATTTTATTTATTTGAAACATTTATATTCCACCCTCAGGGAAAACCACAACATATATACAGCAAACATTCAATGCCAACCTATCAGTTTGAAAACATGCAAATGTGAGTAGATCAATAGGTGCCGCTTCTGCGGGAAGATAACACTGCTCTATGCAATCATACTGCCCACATTCTGGAGAACAAGCCCTATGAAGAGCAGCTTAAAGAGCTGGGCATGTTTAGCCTGAAGAAGAGAAGGCTGAGAGGAGACATGATGAGGGCCAGAGATAAATATGTGAGGGGAAGTCATAGGGAGGAGGAGGGAGCAAGCCCTTGGAGGCATCTACAGACAACACCGGCTCTTCGGCTTAGGAAATGGAGATATGCACCACCTCCCAGAGTCAGACACAATGTCAGGGGAAACCTTTACCTTTAGTTTATTTTGCAATTTGTTTCATAAAGATTAAGTAGACAGAACATATTGTAAAGAGCAAAAATAACTTTCTGGCCTTGGTTTCCATACAAAATATGTTTTCCATGCTGCTTTCATGTATAATCTTCCCTTTCTATATATTTTTCTCTTCTTTATAGTAAGCACCCCTCCAAGCAGACCTGTTTCGACAGACATGGCCTTAGTCATGTATACAAGCGGCTCCACTGGAAGGCCTAAAGGAGTGATGATGATGCATAAAAACCTCATAGCTGGAATGACAGGGCAGTGTGAGCGGATACCTGGACTGGGGTAAGAATCCCTTGCTTTGTCAGAAATGTATCTGAAAACTTACTTTAAAAACCCCAACAACACCCTTATCTTGCTTGGGCAGCTCTTTCTTTGCTGGATGCAAGTATCATACACTGATCCACAGCAAGGCATGCAGACACACTCTGCTTTGTCCACTAATGGATATTGCATTTCACATCCTGCTTATACTTTGGATGTTTTTGAGAGAGGTTTCATCAGAAGCTGGGAACATCCAGCAGTCTGTACTAGTTTTGAAAATAGGCTTCTGGGCTCCAAACATAACACAATGCCCGCTGGGGGTCTCCAGAGGGTATGAGGTTAACTTCTTGAGAGAAAGAAAATAAAAGGTGCAAAGTGTAGTGCATGGCCTATAGATCACACTTTGCTCACGCCTTATTTAGAGGCTTAAAATCAGATCAGTAACAAATAGAGCTGGAACTAGAAGAGGGAGATGGGAGCTAAGGCGGTCTCCCTGTCATATGCCACCATTTTTATAATGTGCCATTAAGCAATTACTATATATATATATATATATATATATATATATATATACACACATACACACACACACACACACCAACCTGAATATGAGCCGAAGCACCTAATTTTTTTTTAAAAAAACCTGGGGAAATGTGTTGACTCGAGTATAACCCGAGGGTGGGAAATGCAGCAGCTACTGGTACATTTCAAAATAAAAATAGATACCAATAAAATTACATTAATTGAGGCATTAAGTTTTTGAATATTTACATAAAACTGTAATTTAAGATAAGATTGTCCAACTCTGATGAAACCATCATTCTAACCTTCTTCCATGTAAATGTGCTGACGTAGCCTTCTAATAATAATAAAGAGAGTAAAATAATAAAAGTAATAAAATAATAATAGAGTAAAATAATGGAAATGTAATGCTAACAGTAATAGAGTAAAATAATAAAATAAAGCAAAATAATAAAATAAAGTAAAATAATTGCCATCAACAATACATTAAAATAATAAATGTAATAGTAATAATAGAGTAAAATAATAAATGTAATAATAAGAGTAAAATAATAAATGTAATAATAAAATAAGGCAAAATAATAAAATAAAGTAAAATAATTGCCATCGACAATACATTAAAATAATAAATGTAATAGTAATAATAGAGAAAAATAATAAATGTAATAATGATAATAATAAATAGAGAAAAATAATAAATTTAATAATAACAATAATAAACAGAGTAGAATATTAAATTAATGAAAATAAAATAATAAATGTAATAAGCAAGCAAGCAAGCAAAGTTTATTGAATAGTCTATTGACCGCATCAACATTAAAAACAAAAACAGAAACGTGCACAAACAGACAACAATCACCATCCCAAGACCCCCACAACAGCGAGCCAACACACATTCAAACCTGATTAGGTTAAAAGATAACTAAAAATATCATCATTAAAATGTCAAGATAAAATTTCATACCACAAAAATTAAAAAAAAAGAGGTTAAAATGAAGGTTAAAATAGACCGGCTATTACACAATCCCAAGCCACTTCAGATATCTGCGTCACCCCTAAATAAATGTAATAAAAACAATAAATGTAATAAAAATTGATAATAAAGTATTTCACTATCGATTTAATGTTCTCCCACTTTTTATGAAAAATAACAAAATGCTTTTCTTTTGCGATTAATAAAAATTCATTAAAATAAATAAATGTAATAAAATAAAACAATAAATGTAATAAAAATAAAGAAAAATAATATATAATCTTAACTCGAGTATAAGCTGAGGGGGGGCTTTTTCAGCCTAAAAAAGGTCTGAAAGACTCTGCTTATACTTGAATATAAATGGTAATGTGAGGTGGACGATTGCTTACTGTAGTCAGACCTGAAATAACCAGGCACGGTGTGTCCAGTTAGTCATAGCTGCAGATAAAAGCTTCTTTTGAACAATCAGCCTGATTATGTTTTGGAGAAATTGGATCCAGGTTTAGAGGAAAGCATTCAGAAAATGCATCGTTCAGTTTGCTAATTTAGAGCCTTGTATCGAGAGATTCTGCTTCCTGTACACTGAGGCCTGTAATATTCCTTCCTTAGACCCAAAGACACATACATCGGCTACTTGCCTCTGGCGCATGTATTAGAACTGACAGCAGAGATTTCCTGTATTACTTACGGCTGTCGGATTGGCTACTCCTCTCCTCTCACGCTTTCAGACCAGGTAAGAGAAGGCGTGACACTGTCTGACTAGTTGTTGCTCAAAAAGGAAATAATTTTATACACCATAACCTTTACCCTTAAAGTATACCCTAGCATCATCATAGTTAAATGCCCAGGAGTAACATGTACATAAAAGTATAAGGGAAGTTACATTTTAAGAGGTTCTCCTGTAGCATTGCTCTGTGTCCTGAGTAAGCTAACGTTGTAACTGGCACCATCAGCATCCAGCTTTAGGATTTTCGTTACAAGGAGGCTGCCAAAAATGGTACCAGCCTGCACCAGTTTTACAAGCTTGCCTATGTAATGCCTATGACATGCTTTAGTTGCTGACCCCGAGGCAACAGAAGATGTTGAAATGCAAGAGTTGTCTTGTGGGTTAACTGAATAGCTTTGGCTTGCAAAGGCTAAATGCTTTGCACAGGTATTTCATGAAAGGAGGTTGTGAATTCAAACTGGGATTTTGTTTTTCTTTCTTTCTTGCAGTCAAGTAAAATTAAAAAAGGAAGCAAAGGAGATTGTACCGTTCTGAAGCCCACCTTGATGGCAGCTGTGCCTGTAAGTATGGGTAGGGTTTCGTGGCTAATATAAAATGCTTATATTCCACATAAATCACTCCAAGAAGCTTCAGTTTCGAAAGAGATAATGAATCTGCCCGGTACAGTAATTCTTGTATATAGATGTGAAAAGTCATGATAACATATTACCTAAAATCAACACGTTTCAGACTGCAAATCTACATTTCTGTGCCATTTAAGGCCTGTTCTGGTACTTGGTAATTGTATTGATTCATAGAAGCATAGAATTGTGGAGTCATAGAGTTGGAAGAGACCTCATGGGCCATCCAGTCCAACCCCATTCTGCCAAGAAGCAGGAAAATTGCATTCAAAGCACTCCCGACAGATGGCCATCCAGCTTCTGTTTAAAACCTTCCAAAGAAGGAGCCTCTACCACACTCTGGGGCAGAGAGTTCCACTGCTGAACAGCTCTCACAGTCAGGAAGTTCTTCCTAACGTTCAGATGGAATCTTCTTTCTTGTAGTTTAAGCCATTGTTTATTTATTATTTATTTAAAACTTTTATATCCCGATCTTCTCAACCTCCGTAGAGGGACTCAGACCAGCTTACAGCAAGGATTCAATGCTAATAGTATAATCTAAAAACATCATATAATAACGAGTTAAAATACATATTGATTAAAATTACAAATAAGCCACATTGCCAAGATAAAATCATGTCCAACTCAGTCTGTATGTGTGGTCGATAACTTTGTTCTGTAGCCGGTTTCAACCATTACTCTGGGAATGCTTCCTTCCATAGCCAGGATTTCACCAGCCTCCTGGAGACTAGGACGCATTGTTCTGTGTCCTAATCTCCAGGGCAGCAGAAAGCAAGCTTGCTCCCTCCTCCCTATGACTTCCTCACATATTTATACATGGCTATCATGTCTACTCTCAGCCTTCTCTTCTTCAGGCTAAACATGCCCAGCTCTTTAAGCTGCTCCTCATAGGGCTTGTTCTCCAGACCCTTGATCATTTTAGTCACCCTCCTCTGGACACATTCCAGCTTGTCAATATCTCTCTTCAATTGTGGTGCCCAGAATTGGACATAATATTCCAGGTGTGGTCAGACCAAGGCATAATAGAGGGGTAGCATGACTTCCCTTGATCTAGACACTAGACTCCTATTGATTCAACACATAAAGAAGGGAAGTACACTAGTCCTACCCGTTCCTTTGGAGTTTCCTCTTGCCCTTTTCTTGTAAAAAGCAGCAGTCAGATGGAGAGATCCTCCTCCTCCTCTCTCTGGTTTATTTCCATGTGATTTTGACTTTTCAAAGTGCAAAGAGAGTCTTCAGAAAGAATAGAGGCTGGTGTTGCACTCCTGGGCTGGGGTCCACCTCTATAGTTAATATACACTCCAGTCCAAGGTAAAATAGCAAAGCAGTTTATTGGAGAAGAATATATATATGTATATATATATATAGAGAGAGAGAGAGCGCAATTCAGCAAAATAGTATAAAAGACCAAAATCCAAATATCAGGAATAATCCACAGAAATCAAAGTATGGGAGTAGCATCAAAAACCAGGAATACAAAAGCAGAATAAATCCAAAACATGAGATTCAGAAACAGTCCTGAAAACTTGGAATCATGAGACATGGACAAAAGGAAACATGGAACTAGAAATCCCTTGACTTGACAATAGATCTATATTTAAACACCAACATTGCCTGGACTTATGGACCCATCTGCTGGGGTAGCTGATACAGAAAGAAAATCCTGCCTTCTTCCTGGGAAACTGATAAGGACTTATTGGGTAATAGGCATCTTGACCTTCGTAAATTCTCCTGAGAAGCTCTATGTTGACGGAACATAAATCTCCTATCTAACTGCTCATTAGTCTGTCCACCTGGACTTTCATTTTCATCTGTTTCTGACCTTGTTTCCTTAACGAACTGCCTTTCAGGAATGTGGCCTTCAGACACAGACCACTCATTTTCAGGGCTTAAAATCTCTGGCTGGCTCTCCTGCTGACTTGCAGACCCACAATCCCCAGAGTCATCAGAATGACTAACAGGCCCAAAATCCCCAGACAGATCAGGTGCAGGCACAATCAAAGGCTGAACTACAACTTTAACCCATTTCTATGTAGAGGGAGACTGAAATGATGATGGAGAGGGGAAGAATTAAGTGCAGATGACCGTTTACTTCAAACAGCTGTAAATGCATGTTGCTGACTGCGTCTGTTTCACACAGAATGTCAGGAAGCCAATGTCTCCCATCTACTACTGTGTTTTAGTTTTATTTTGTTGTAATGTACTACTGGGCCGCCCCTCATGTAAGCCGCCCGAGTCCCTTTTGGGGAGATGGTGGCGGGGTATAAATAAAGTTTATTATTATTATTCGAAACACAACAAGATGAGTCCACAGCAGACACTCTAGTGCAGTGGTTCGCAACCTGGGGTCCCCAGGTGTTTTTGGCCTTCAACTCCCAGAAATCCTAACAGCTGGTAAACTGGCTGGGATTTCTGGGAGTTGTAGGCCAAAAACATCTGGGGACCCCAGGTTGAGAACCACTGCTCTAGTGGCTGTATTATTATTGTCATTATTATTATTATTATTATTATTATTATTATTACTATTATTATTATTATTATTTAATCCCAAATGCCAAAGAAATGGTTGCAGCATCTTTGATTTGGAGGGAGACTGATCTGTGGGTTACTTTTAGCAAACACAACCGAGATTTTACCAAGTTATATTGTGTATCATTAATTTTATGAGTATTTCCTGTAATGTAAATGGCCATTAATTTTATCCTTTGAGCATAAATATCAGGGCTTGTTGAACACGGAGTGGGAGTGGAACATTTTCTGAAAAGACGAAAGCATGAGAATTACACAATTCTCGTATTTCTTTATTTGTGCTTCCAAATACCAAGTACAAGTTAGTGGAAAAACAGTTTAGTTGCAGTAACTCTAATAGTAAAATCCAGTCAGTTGCAATACTATGGATGCATGGTGTAGGAAGGAAAGTTTTCTTTTTTCCATGGCACATTTCTATTTAATCTTTATACAAAATGTCCTCTGGCTAAAAATGGCCACAAATGGTTAACCAGGTTGCACATTAAGTATTATACAATGAGGGAACGATTCAGCTGTTTAAAATGAATGAGGCGCTCCTTCGCATTCCCCTAAAGGCAGTTGGGCTGCACCAGTATAAACCAGTTCTGGATTGTTATGTTTCTAAACATACCTACCCTCCTGCTTTGTAGGAAATTATGGATCGAATTTATAAGAATGTTATGAGTAAAGTTCAAGAGATGAACTACATCCAGAAAACGCTGTTTAAGATAGGCTATGACTACAAACTGGAACAAATTAAACGGGGATATGATGCACCACTCTGCAACTTGTAAGTACAGCTTATGTATGTACTATGTCTCTATGGTAATCAAAAATGTGATAGTATATAAGTCAATACGTTAGGAGCAAAACTTGCATGGGGTTCATCCAATTATGCAGTGATTTCTATGCTGATTTTGTGTTTCTTGGTCTGAAGGACCAGCACAGCAGAAATCCTAAATATGACCTACTGCTGTACAGTCTTGTATTGTGTGATTTTGGTGAGAATGAATGGATAGAGACTTAGGATAAGACTACTGCTTGGAGCATGTAAATTTAGGAAGTGTCTAGCTGTGTTTCTCAACCTGGGGATCAGGACCCCTGGGGGGGGGGGTTGCAAGGGGGGTGTCAGAAGGGTCACCAAAGACCATCAGAAAACACATTATTTTTGTTGGTCTTAGGGGTTTCTGTGTGGGAAGTTTGGCCTATTGTTGGTGGGGATCAGAATAGTCTTTGATTGTAGGCAAACTATAAATCCCAGCAACTACAACTCCCAAATGCCAAGGTCTATTTTCCCCAAACTCCACCAGTGTTCACATTTGGGCGTATTGAGTACCCATGCCAAGCTTAGTCCAGATCTATCATTGTTTGTGTCCACAGTGCTCTCTGGATGTAGGTGAACTACAACTCCAAAACCCAAGGTCAATGCCTATCTAACCTTACAATACTTTCTGTTGGTCATGGGAGTTCTGTGTGCCATGTTTGGTTCAATTCCATTGTTGGTGGGGTTTAGAATGCTCTTTGATTGTAGGCGAACTATAAATCCCAGCAACAACAACTCCCAAATGTCAAGATCCATTTCCCCCAAACTCCTCCAGTGTTCACATTTGGGCATATTGAGGATTCATGCCAAGTTTAATCCAAATCCATCATTGTTTGAGTCCACAGCACTCTGGGTGCAGGTGAACTACAGCTCCAAAACTCAAAGTCAATGCCCACCAAACCTTCTAGTATTTTCTGTTGGTCATGAGAATTCTGTGTACCAAGTCTGGTTCAATTCCATCATTGGTGGAGTTCAGAATGCTCTTTGATTTTAGGTGAACTATAAATCACAACAACTACAACTCCCAAATGACTATATTTCCCCCCAACCACACCAGTATTAAAATGGTGCAAGATTTGGTCTAGTGAATGAAAATGCATCCTGCATATCAGATATTTACATTACAATTCATAACAGGAGCAAAATTACAGTTGTGAAGTAGCAACAAAAATAATGTTGTGGTTGGGGGTCACCACAACATGAGGAACTGTATTAAGGGGTCGCGGCATTAGGAAGGTTGAGAACCACTGGTCTAAGGTTTACTTATAATAATTTATCTGTGAGAGAATAGGTTAGAAATATGACATCTTGATGCCATAGGGCAGTGGTTCTCAACCTGGGGTCCCCAGATGTTTTTTGGCCTACAACTCCCAGAAATCCCAGCCAGTTGACCAACTGTTAGGATTTCTGGGAGTTGGAGGCCAAAAACATCTGGGGATCCCAGGTTGAGAACCACTGCCATAGGGCCTCGCTTTCAGTAGGGCTTTGGATTAATGCATTTGGATCACACATTTGCATATTCGGATATGGCTGGTTTGAAGGATAACCGTGATCCTTGGGCTGAGTGCACATGAGCCACCAATGGGGCATGATCCAAAGCAGGAATGGAGCCCTAGAGGTCAGTTCATGAAGCCAGATGGCATGTTGTTCTGTCCCAGTGACATCCGTTTCCTTTCCTTTCAGGCTGTTGTTTAAGAAGGTGAAAGCCTTGCTAGGAGGGAATGTCCGCATGATGCTTTCGGGAGGAGCACCCCTCTCTCCTCAGACGCAAAGGTTCATGAATATCTGCTTCTGCTGCCCCGTTGGCCAAGGCTATGGGCTCACGGAGACCTGTGGGGCAGGGACAATTACGGAAGGTAAGCCCTTTGGGCAGCACAATCCTCACACCCAGAAGGCCTCATTGTATCATTTTTAGCTGAACATTGACCGGAGGATTCATTTCACTCTGGCAGTATTATTATGTAGTTATAATAATGAAAGGGTGTGATTTTAAAATGTTTTTCCTCCTCCCTTTAGTGTCTGACTACAGTACCGGCAGAGTCGGGGCGCCTCTAATCTGCTGTGAGATTAAACTGAGAGATTGGCAAGAAGGTGAGAGAACAACAGCCCTGCTTCATTGCTTTCTGAGAGACAGATTGTGAGTGCTGTTATTGCATTCACCTGCTATTCTATTTCACTTTCTCAGGAGGCTACACAAGTAGAGACCAGCCCAACCCGAGGGGAGAGATCATCATTGGTGGGCCCAACGTCTCCATGGGATACTTCAGGAACGAGGAGAAAACGGCAGAAGATTTTATCGCTGACCAAAATGGCCAGTACTGGTTTTGTACTGGGGACATCGGGGAGTTTCATCCTGACGGCTGTCTACAAATCATAGGTGGTTATTAATTATTACTTATTAACTGTGATGGGATTGCAGTTTGGTAAAGCACATCTAATATATAGACATTACCCTCAGTGGCGCAGTGGGTTAAACCACTAAGCTGCTGAACTTGCTGACCGAAAGGTTGCCAGTTTGAATCCAGGGAGCGGAGTGAGCTCCCGCTGTTAGCCCCAGCTTCTGCCAACCTAGCAGTTTGAAAACATGCGAATGTGAGTAGATCATTAGGTACCACTCTGGTGGGAAGTTAACGGCACTCCACGCAGTCATTTATTTATTTATTTATTTATTTATTTAGAAATTTTCTATACCAGTCTTCTCATCTCCAACGAGGGACTCAGGCCGGTTTACAACAAGGGGGTTCATACACAATAGTTTAAAAACATCACATCAATAATACACTAATATAAACACATTAAAGTACTATCATATAATTATATTATATGCCAACCACATGACCTTGGAGGTGTCTATGGGCAACGCTGGCTCTTTGGCTCAGAAATGGAGATGAACACCATCCCGCAGAGTCGGACACGACTAGACTTAATGTCGGAAAAACTTTACCTTTACCTACCTTTTGTTCAAAACATTCCAGGGGTGCATGCTGAATTGTGCTCTTATGACACATTGCAAAAGGGATTTTGGTTACTAGACATTTTGGTAATTTGAAATCTTATATTTGTAGCTTGGTTTCCAGTTCTCAGACACTTCCCTGAAAGTTAATTTCCTGCTTAAGGCATTCTGATTCAATTTCAATAAGTTATTCCAAATGTCCAATGTAGATTGAGCATTCCCCTGCATACAGGAGAAGTCTGGGCTTCACTGATGAATCATAGAATTATAGAATCACTAGCAGTGCCCTGCCATGCGTTGCTGTGGCCCAGTCTAATGATCTGGAAAATAAAGTAACGAGAAAGTGTTGGTTTTGAATATATGTTATTTCTTTATGGTTGTGGGTAAACAGTATTTTCCCCGCGTGGTAGGCCTGTTATTCACACACATGGTATTCCCTGCGCTCGCGCAGGCCAGCAACGGACATTCCCAAGCTACTAACTGACCGTTAGAGAAGCCCCGCCCCTTTCCTTCCACTCTATAAATAGCCCTACCGCGGGGCTCCCGGCCAGTTCTTTTAATCCGCCTCAAAAGGCAGCAACGGCATCTCAAGCTGTATTTGAAAAAGAATGACTACCTCTTTTAAGAAGTGTGTTTTATGCCCGAATAAAATTCCTGATAACGATGCCCACACGGAATGCGTGGGCTGCCTGGGAGAGGCCCATCTCTCTCAGGCATGTGAGATTTGTATGGCGTTTACGCCACAAACCAAAAAGAATAGGGAAATAAGGCTTAAAGCTGCTCTTTACGAGCAAGCCTTGCTTCCCTCAATTCAAAAGGGCATGGACACGCCAAAACAGAAGATATATACAAAATCGCAGTCTGCGGCACGTCCAAAAGGTGCCCATACTGACGAGATCGCCATTAAGAAAAAGAAGAAGGCCAAGCCGCTTGTTTCTATAAACAAGGGGAAAATGGTGGCTCAACAGATAAAGCCGCAATCTCAAGCGGCCAAAGGCTCCCCTTTGGAAAAGGAAAATCAATTAGTGGGCGAGGGGGTGACCCCTAAGCTACCCACGGAGAGGAATAGCCAATTTGTGGGTGAGGGGGTGACCCCTAAGCAACCCACGGAGCGGAGTAAAGGAGGTAGCTTGACTGAGGAAGAGATCTCCGAGTCCTCAACGACGCCGCCTGCTCTATCGAAAGCCATTAATGAGGCACAAACCTTGATGGAGGCTTTGGCTCCTAAGCAGGCTCTTCTCCAGTCGGGATCGGCAATGGAGCCTCTCCCTCGCCGCAGAAGAGACCGGCCTCCATCCCGAAGCGTCAGAGCGGAGGGAAAACGTCGGCGTCGACGGCGCTCCGTATCAAGGAGCTCTTCAAGCCCCTCCTCTGACTCCTCCTCTAGCTCCTCCCCCGCTCCGAGAAGAGGGAAGAAGAAAGCCAAGAGGGATTCTTCCTCTAGCTTCTCCCCTGCTCATAAAAAAGGGAAGAAGAAGAGGAGGAGAAGCTCATCCTCTAGCTCCTCCCCTTCTCCAAAGAAGGGGAAGAAAAGGACTAGAGGAAGGAACAGCACAGCCAAGCCTCAAGTTCCTGCGAAGTGGCTGAATGGACAGAATAACCAATGTGGTCCTATGCCCCCACAGGGAGGTTTTTGGCAGATGACTCCTCAAGGGCAGATGGTTTACTGTGCAGGTCCTGTCCCTTGTCATTACCAACCGAGTGATTCCCACAAGGGGAATAATCTGGATCATGTCATGAGCCAGGAAGAGGACCCATTAGAGGGTCCTTCTACACCTTGCTTTCAACGAGAATCTGTAATAGACCCATCTGATTCTTCTGATGAAAATGCATTCATTCTAAAGGAACCGAAGGAAGCAGTCCTAGACAAATCTAATGCTGAAGAATTCAAAAAATTTAACGCCATGTTGGCCAGGATGATTAAGGCTTTGGATTTACCAGCACCTAAGCCACAAGATACTGTAGAAGACCCTATGTTTCCGGCTGAGCAGCAGGAATCTCCTGTTAGCACTACGCTCCCAACTTTGCCATATTTACTCAAGTTAACAAAGGTGCCTGAAGGTTCCCCAGCAATGGCACCAGCGATGCCTAGGAGGGTGGACAGTTTGTATAGGGTTGACTTAGCGAATGCTGAATGGCTGGTGCGTCCATTTAGACCCAACACAGTGATTGCAGAAGTGGGTCAGGGTAAAAAACCCAGGAAGACAGCATCAGCCCCGGCAGATAAAGAAGGCAAGAAAATTGACATCATGGGGAAGAAGATGCACATGGCGGCTGGCCTCATTGCGAGGATGGCCCATTACGCTACTTATTTGAGTGCCTATCAAACTTATTTATGGAACAGAATGACACCTTACATTACTATCCTCCCAGAGGATGAGCAACGTTTACCGATTGCATTTAGCAAAGAAGCCCTCATTGTCTCAAGGTACCAGAAAGACTTTGCTAAACATTTAGCAGAATCGGCTGGCAAGATGTTTGCCATTGCCACATCAGCTAGGCGTCATGCTTGGCTAAGGGCTTCGGATCTATCTGAAGAAGGTAGATTACTAGCAGAGGACCTTCCTATGCATCAGGATGGTTTGTTCAATCCAGTTACCGATGATAGACTTAAACACAATCAAGAAATGAAAAAGACCATCCAAGTTTATGGCTTCCCGAAGCAAAATAATTATCAACAGAAACCAAGATGGCAGAATTCTTCGCCTTACTACAAGAGAAACTTCGGTAACTATATGACCACACAGCAAAGGCAGCAGTCATCGCAATATAACAGATCCTTTGGACAACGGAAACAGTTCTATGGGACAAAGAATCGTTTTCTGCCATATCAAAATAAGCCTAGCCGACCAGGTGGCCCAAAACAGCGTTTTTGATAGCGGATCCCAAGTGATGGGTTCTTTGAAAGGTCTCCCTATTGTGGGAGTCGATCCATATGTTAAAGTTAAGAATGTTATTACAGTTAATCATAATTCCTGTTTGGTACTGTTAAGTAAGGAAGTGCGTAACAAAGTACATCCTTTTTTTGAAGACCGCTTAGCTCCTTATTATGGCATCTGGTCTGAGATAACTACTGACCAATGGGTTTTAAAAATTATTAGGAAAGGTTATTTTATTGAGTTTAAGGAACTACCACCAGTTGGTAGAGTTAAGGTGACAACTCCCTCTCCTTTGCTACAGGAAGAGATTAACACTCTGTTATCTAAAGGAGCTATTTCTCCATTAATGCCAGCGGAACATAGGCTGTGCTTTTACTCAAGATATTTCCTGATTTCAAAGAAAGGAGGAGGAATACGTCCAATATTAGACTTGAGAGATGTAAATTCTTACATAACACCAAAGAAATTTCGAATGATATCTTTGAAAACATTGCTTCCATTGCTTAATAAAAACGATTGGTTTGCGACAATAGACCTCAAAGACGCTTATTTCCACATATCAATTGCTAAAGAACATAGGAGATTTCTAGCGTTTATGGTAGGACATCAGGCCTTTACCTTCAACGTCTTGGCATTTGGGTTAGCAACCGCGCCAAGAGTATTTACCAAGTGCATGGCAGCAGTGGCGGCTTACCTACGCACCTCTGGGATTACGGTTTACCCGTATATAGATGACTGGTTAGTTACAGCAAAATCTAGAGATAAAATCATAGCGCATGTCAACAAAACGTTGTGTTTTCTCCAGTCCCTAGGTCTGATCGTAAATTGGGAAAAGTCCCAGCTCACCCCAACAAGAAGGATACAGTTTATCGGAGCGATCTTGGATTCGCAGTTGCAGAGGGCGTTTCTTCCAGAAGACCGCTTCTTAAATCTAAAAAGACTAATTCGGGTGGTGCTCCACCGAGACAGAGTACAGGCCAGAAAGATTCAAGTAATCCTGGGTCATATGGCCTCCACCACAGCAGTAACCCCTCTAGCGAGGCTGCACATGAGACCGCTACAATCGTGGTTCCTGTCAGTATTCGATCCTTTGGTGCACAAGCCGTTCACACTCCTATCGTTACCTGGGGTGATAAGACAGTCCCTGTTGTGGTGGTTGGAACGGGACAATGTATGTGCGGGACTACCTTTTCGGGAGTCTGCTGCTTCCAAAGTTGTTACCACGGACTCTTCACTAATGGGGTGGGGAGCTCATGTGGACAATCTCACAGCTCAAGGAAAATGGTCAACAATAGAATCTGTCCTACACATAAACCAATTGGAACTGCTTGCGGTAGACAAGGCACTAAAGGCCTTCGAACCGGTTTTGAAAAATCGCATTGTCCAAATTCTCACAGACAATACGACTGTGAAGTATTACATCAACAAGCAGGGCGGCACACATTCCCCCACTCTGTTGGCATTGACACTTCAGATATGGCACTGGTGTGTGAAGAGGGGCATCCACCTCACGGCGGTTCATCTGCCAGGGAAACAGAACACTCTGGCAGATTTCCTAAGCAGAAATCCTCTCAGCCATCACGAGTGGGCATTACACGAGGAAGTGACATCCCTCCTTTTCAGAGCATGGGGGACACCAACAGTAGATCTGTTTGCGACGCAAGAGAACAGGAAGTGTCGCCTGTTCTGTGCGTGGACAAAAGGGAATACGAAGCAGGATTGTCTAGGGGACGCATTCTTACTCCACTGGGGAATGCAGGAGATTTATGCGTTCCCTCCATTCCCTCTAATACTAAGAGTAGTATCAAAGCTGTGTCAGGACAGGGCAACAGGAATCCTTGTGACTCCATGGTGGCCACGTCAGCCATGGTTTGCCCTAGTACTTCGGTTGTCAAGGAGAGTTTACAAACCACTTCCCGGCAGGAAGGACCTGTTATCGATCCAGAACAATCAGGTTCTATATCCGGATGTTCAGAGCCTCAGGTTGACTGCTTGGAGAATCCTTCCAATCCAGGAGGATTGATGTTAGGGATCTCAAGTGATGTGAAAAAGGTCCTTGAGGCAGCGCAGAGAGTATCCACGAGAAGGTCATACATTTATAAATGGTCACGATTTACGAAATTTGCTCAGGGGAAAGGAGAGAACCCTTGCACAGCCAAAACTGGGTTAATACTAGAATTTTTGATGTCACTAGCTAACCAGGGCCTTGCCTTGTCTTCGTTGAAGTGTTATTTAGCTGCTTTGACGTGGTTCCGTAGGAAGGCAGGACTTCCGTCTTGCTTCAGTGACCCGTTAATCTCTCAATTCATGAAAGGTTTTGGAAATATTAGGCCCCCAGTAACGCCGGTGGCCCCAGCGTGGAGCCTAGAAGTAGTTCTCTCGGCTCTGATGAGACCACCTTTTGAGCCTATGGCTACAGTAGATCTGTCTTTTCTATCTTGGAAGACGGCGTTTCTAGTGTCTATAACGTCGGCACGCAGGGCAGGAGAGATTTGTGCACTTAGACATGATGAGCCATATTTGAGATTGCACAAGGATAGGGTGGTCCTTAGGACAGATTTAGCTTTTTTACCAAAGGTAGCCACTAAATTTCATCTCTCTCAGGAGATAGTGCTTCCAGCCCTTTTTCCAAACCCGGCTTCTTCTTTGGAGAAGAAACTTCACTTACTGGATGTACGTAGAGCCCTAATCTTTTACTTAGACAGAACTTCGGCTATTAGAAAGTCCCCAAGGTTATTCTTGAAATACCGTAGGGATGCGTTAGGCCTCCCAGTATCATCCCAACGCCTTTCGTCGTGGATAGTATTGACAATACGAAAGGCTTATACTTTAGCAGGGAGGGACTTACCTTTACAGGTGAAAGCTCATTCCACAAGGGCGGTGGCGACGTCGACGGCGTTCCTGCGTGGAGTACCGTTGGATGTGGTGTGCAGAGCTGCAACTTGGTCGACTCCATCTACCTTCGTGGCTCATTATAAGCTGGATGTAACATCAAAGAAGGATGCAGCCTTTGGCCGAGCGGTACTGTTTTCAGCTGTGGCATGACACCCTCCTCCGAGGTTAGCAGCTCGCTAGTCTACCATTTGTGTGAATAACAGGCCTACCACGCGGGGAAAATATGGGTTGCTTACCTGTAAACATAGTTTCCCGAGTGGTAGCCTGTATTCACACGTCCCGCCCATCCTCCCCACTCTTTTGGTCATGCCCCAGGGCTTCTGGCTGCCTTTTTTTGCGGCGGAAGAACTGGCCGGTAGCCCCGCGGCAGGGCTATTTATAGGGTGGAAGGAAAGGGGCGGGGCTTCTCTAACGGTCAGTTAGTAGCTTGGGAATGTCCGTTGCTGGCCTGCGCGAGCGCAGGGAATACCATGTGTGTGAATACAGGCTACCACTCGGGAAACTATGTTTACAGGTAAGCAACCCATATTTCTTCTTGTTTCTTTATCAGTGTTGATGTGGAGATGTCTGGTTTGCCTACTCTGGAACATGCAACATGTAATTACCCTTCTTTAGGGGCCCCTTTCAGATCTATGATACTATATCTGTCATATACATGTTGTGTGTAAATCATATTTATCTATCTAAGAGTTGGTAGGTGTTAGGAAAAACTACCCTAAAACATAAAGCAAAGCATCCAAAAACAAACAGGACACTTAAAGTTGAACATCAGCTCACTAGCAAGCTGAGTATGAATCAGGTGCTGTGTGATGTGGCTGTAAAGAATTCAGAGCTTAGGAGGCAAATATACAAAGTCCAATCTTGAAAAAAAAAATCACAAAATGTTTATTTACAACTAGCCGTCCCCTGCCACGCGTTGCTGTGGCCCACATGGGGGTTCTGTGTGGGAGGTTTGGCCCAATTCTATCATTGGTGGGGTTCAGAATGCTCTGTGATTGTAGGTGAACTATAAATCCCAGCAACTACAACTCCCAAAAGTCAAGATTCTATTTTCCCCAAACTCCACCAGTGTTCACATTTACTAATTATTTTATTTATTTATTTACATTATTTCTATCCCGCCCATTTCAGCCCGAAGGCGACTCAGGGCGGTATACACAGTCGGCACAATTCGATGCCGAAACAAAATACATACATTGATAAAGCAAAAACATCAAGTGCAATTAAACATAAACGACAGTGCATAATAAACAATTTAAAAGAAACTATGTCCTCTCGTTCAAATCTTCATCCATTACATTGTCTTGGCCTTCCTGGGTCAATTTCCAACTCTAGTTTGTCTGTTTACTCCGGGGTTCCGAATGCTTGTTCGAAGAGCCAAGTTTTTACTCTTTTTCGGAAAGTCAGGAGGGAGGGGGCTGAGTTTGGTCCAGATCCATCCTTATTTGAATCCACAGTGATCTCTGGATGTAAGTGAACTACAACTCCAAAACCAACAGACACTGCCCACCAAACCCTTCCAGTATTTTCTGTTGGTCATGGGAGAACTGTGTGCCAAGTTTGGTTCAATTCCATCGTTGGTGGGGTTCAGAATGCTCTTTGATTGTAGGTGAACTATAAATCCCAGCAACTACAACTCCCAAATGACAAAATCATTTTTTTGAGTGAAGGACATACATTGGGTTGTTAGGTGTATCGTGTCCAAATTTGGTGCCAATTTGTCCAGGGGTTTTTGAGTTCTGTTAATCCCACAAACGAACATTACATTTTTATTTATATAGATAAAAAATAACTGCATTTCTTTATAGTCAAGAACTGAGTCTGAGCTACTCTAACACCCATCTTTTCTAAGGTTTCAGGAGAGGGAAAAACTCAATCCCTACATCTCTCCTGACACACAAGCAGAGAGAGATCTCAAAGCACACAGCACATACTCTCCATACTAAAAGTGTAAGAAGGCAGAAAACAGATTCAAAAAGCTTGCAGCAAAAGAGTAGGGACCTCAAAAGGCCATCCACTCCAACCCCCTTCTGCCATGCAGGAAAAGTATAATAAAAGTACCCCCAACAGATGGCCATTCAGCCTCCAAGAAAACCTCCTCTGGGCTCTGAGGCAGCAGCATATTCCACTGCTGAACAGCTCTTACCATCAGGAAGTTCTCTGTAATGTTCAGGTCTAATCTCCTTCAAATGGCTATTCTTCCTACATTAAAGATGCTTAGGGCCAGATTGTATGCTTTTTGAAAGCACTCATTATCCCCCCCCCCCCCCAATTCTTTTCCTCCAGATCGCAAAAAAGACTTGGTAAAATTGCAGGCCGGAGAATACGTCTCGCTTGGCAAAGTGGAGGCTGCCCTGAAAAACTGTCCCTTTATTGACAACATCTGCGCTTATGCCAAAAGGTAAGCCCTTTCATAATTTTGCAGTTCTTTGTTTCTCGGGAGAGGCTGTTTCAAAAAGAAAGTCAACTTTGAACAAGGAACATGTTCCTAAAATCTAGAATGAAGAGAATCTCCGCTATTCAAAGGCTTAGAAGCAAACAAATGGTGGAGGCAGGTGCAAGGCTGAAAAAGATATTCCTTTGACACACACAGCCCAGCTCTGGTTGCGTCATGCAACAAAGAGGCACAGCTGTTATAATACTCTGAGAGAGCCCTGGAAGTCATTGTTGCCTTGTAACATCTGAGCATTCCCCTTATATTCCCCCTAATAGTCGTCCAATGTTTACGTATGTTGTTTTAATGTAGTTTTAAATTGTTGTTAATTGTTGTTGTTATTTGGGCATGGAATAATGGCACCCATGTAAGCCACCCTTAGTCCCCTTTGGGGTGAGAAGAGTGGGATATAAATATCGTAAATAATAAGAAATAATAATATTTCAGGTGTGAAAGCAACACTTGTCTTGCTCCTTCTTCATTCAGTTCCTCTGCATAGAAAGGGGAGGATAGGCTGTATATAAAAGGCACTTTTTCTAAAAGCAATAGAAAAATATGTGTATTTTCCTTCTTTTGGAGGATTTTAAGTGGAGGTTGGATGGCTATCTGCAAGGAGTGTTTTGATTGTACTTTTCCTGCATGGCAGAAGGGGGTTCAGCTGAATGGCCTGGAGGTATCTTCCAACTCTTATGATTTTCGTTCATATTAAAAAAGGGTTTCTGTGAGTTTTCCGGACTGTATGGCCATGTTCTCTCCTGACTTTTCGCCCACATCTATAGCAGGCATCCTCAGAGGTTGTGAGGTCTGTTGGAAACATGGCAAGTGGGGTTTATATATCTGTGGAATAATATCCAAGGTGAGAGAAAGAAGTCTGTTTGAGGCAAGTTTGAATGCTTCAATTGATCGCCTTGATTAGCATTGAATAGCCTTGCAGCTTCAAAGCTTGGCTGCTTCCTGTCTGGGGGGATCTTTTCTTGGGAGGTGATTAGCCTACCCTGCTGGTTTTTTGTGTGGAATTTCTCTGTTTTTTTAGTGTTGTTCTTTCTTTACTGTCCTGATTTTAGAATTCTTTTTTTTTTTTTGATGTTATGATGTTTACTGATTGTTATGTTATTCTTTTAACTTGTTTTTAACTGTTTTTATCATGTTTAAGTATTGTATTCGCTCTGAGGGCTGAGAAGAGCGGTATACAAATATAGTAAACAATTAAATAAATAAAAATACATTTTATTAAGGTTTTCAAGGTACAATAAAAAGAGGGGGAACATATCTATAGTACAGGAAAGAAGGAAATTTAGATAGATAGTAGGGGATAGAAGGGTAAAAAGAGGTAGGATGGGATAGTGATTGAGAATAGTTGAAAAAAAGGGAGGGGAATATGGGTAAAGGAGGAGGGAAATTTGGTATATGTTTGACTTCCAGTCTTCTTCAGGTATAACTGTCTTTCTTTGTTCAAAAGTCCTCTCACAGTTAGTTGGCTAGCTCCTTTGTGTGATCATTCTTGAAAACATTTGGGTTTTTAAAAAAATATTTACCTTATATCTATTAACCATTTCAGGTTTTCTTGCATTATGAAATTCTTTTCTAGTGTCCAGTCTGTTTTTGATATCTTCAGATTCTGCTTTATACTCATCAATTGGGTTAGTTTGTCTGTGTTCATAATATCTATAATTTTCATTAGCCATTGTTCTTGTGTTGGGATCTCTTTCGTTCTCCACTGTCTTGCATAGTTTATTCTGGCCGCAGTCACCAGATAATTAAAAGATTTGATTTTAGAATTTTTTAACACTGGTAGCCAGATTCAGCCAAGCATTGAAGCTGCAAGGCCATTCAATGCTAATCAAGGTTACCAGTTCCAGCATTCACACTTGCCTCAAACAGACAAGAGTTCTTTCTCCCACCCTGGATGTTATTCCACTGATATATACACCCCACTTGCCTAGTTTAATAATAATAATAATAATAATAATCCTTTATTTGTACCCCGCTACCATCTCCCGAAGGACTCGGTGTGGCTTACAAGAGGCCGAGCCCAAATACAATAGTAAAAACAACAGCAACAACAACAGCAAAATAACTCAAAAAACAAAGCAATGACATTAACAACACACAATGACGCAATTAAAATCAATGGCAGGGTCAAATGTAATAATTAAGATTAAAAGGTGGAGTGTTTGGAGGGAGATGGGCATGCAGATATCCTGGATCTCTGATAAAATGCGTTTCCAACAGACCTCACAACCTCTATGGATGCCTGCCATAGATGTGGGTGAAATGTCAGGAGAAAATGCTTCCAGAACATGGCCATACAGCCCGGAAAACTCACAGCAACCCAGTGATTCCAGCCATGAAAGCCTTCGATAACACATATTAACACGGTTGAAACAGTATGCCTTTGGTGAAACTTGGCAATGTCTCCTCATTACACCTATTTCTTTCCGGGAAGATGTTGCAATACTTCTGACAGGAGTTGAATCACATCTCTTTGGGGTTGGAGTGGGCTTGTAAATAAGGAATGCATAGCAAAAATATGATTCAGAGCTTGAACAATGTCCCCTTGCGCTCTCTTCCAGTGACCAGTCGTACGTCATCAGTTTTGTGGTTCCCAACCAAAAGAAGCTGACGGCGCTTGCGGAACAGAAGGGAGTGACCGGCAGCTGGGTGGACATCTGCAACAACCCCCTCATGGAGGCAGAAGTCTTGAAGGAGATTAAAGAAATGGCAAGCAAAAGTAAGGGGATGTCGATCATTTTCTTTGCTATTGTGATGCAACAGAGGAGCCTGAAACAAAAATAGGGAATGTTTCCTCAATCCTTGAAGAGGAACACTCCTGTTCTGAGTCAAGGAAGTTGTGCCTTTCTCCAGAAGGCCAGGCATGGGCAAATTTTGGCCCTCTGGGTGTTTTGGACTTCCAACTCCCACAATTCCTAACAGCCGGTAGGCTGTTAGGAATTGTGGGAGTTGAAGTCCAAAACACCCAGAGGGCCAAAATTTGCCCATGCCTGCCCTACTCTCTTAAGTTGCAAGTAAGTTGAGCTTCCAGCATTTCACCATTCCAGCATTTCATTACATTCCTGGGTTTGTAATGAGCACATTGGCTTATTTCGAAGGGAAACTCCCCTCCTTTGGTCTCATTTCTGCCCGCCATGGCATTCCCCCTTTCCTTAGTTTCCCAGAGCTGTGTTTTTGACCCTCTTTCTCTTAGTATGGGAACTCTGGACTCACCTTGGGAGGATAATTTACCCTGAAATGAGATTTATATTAAAGTATGCAAAAAAATACATTAATCGAACAGTATCCCAAGGAGTTACAGTAAAGGGCTGTTGGGGGAATGGACTTATTAACAAAAGACTCTCCTCATAAACGTACAACAGAATAACTTAGCAGCAGCAGCGTGACTAAGTACTCGTAGCCCAAAGTGATAAAAAGAACAAAAGCTCATAGATTGATGTTATCTCTAATCCATGAGAGGATTTCCTTGGTATTAAAATAATATGGTTGCTCTGTTTACAAGAACTAGGTTTCCATAACACAAATAAACAAATACATAGTAGCTTTACACACAGCAGCCTTCACACTGAAGCTTTCTCACATGAGGCTTCTCTCACACGAGGCCTTCTCATAGTCTAAGGCCTACCTCACACTGTGAGGCCTACTCACAGAGAAGCCCCCTCACACAGACTGTGATGTTCCCTCATTGAGGAAAACTAACAGGCTTTGGCCTACTCACTCTCCTCAGGACAACACCAGCTTTAGCCCAAACAAATACATAGTAGCTTTAAAGGCAGCAACCTTCACACTGAAACTTTCTCACATGAGGCTTCTCTCACACTCAGTCTTCTCATAGTCTAAGGCTTACCTCACACTGTGAGGCTTACCTCACAGAGAAGCCTCCTCACACAGACTGTGGTGTTCCCTCGCTGAGGAAAACTAACATTAATAGGCTTTGGCCTACTCACTCTCCTCAGGACTACGCTAGCTTTGGCTCAAATAAATAAATACATAGTAGCTTTCCACGCATCAGCCTTCACACTGAAGCTTTCTCACACGAGGCTTCTCTCACACGAGGCCTTCTCATAGACTAAGGCCTACCTCACACTGTGAAGCTTACCTCACAGATAAGTCTCCTCACAGACTGAGGCGTTCCCTCACTGAGGAAAACTAACACTAACAGGCTTTGGCCTACTCACTCTCCTCAGGACGACACTAGCTTTGGCCCAAATAAACAATTACGTAGTAGCTGTAAAGGCAGCAGCCTTCACACTGAAACTTTCTCACATGAGTCACACTCAGCCCTCTCATAGTCTAAGGCTTACCTCACAGAGAAGCCTCCTCACACAGACTGAGATGCTCCCTTACTGAGGCAAACTAATAGGGCTGGGCGGTTTCGTTCGTTAATTTTGTATATCGTTTTTTTTCCATTAATTTTCCATATACGAAACGATATCAAACTTTTTTCCAAACCCGGAAGTGTATTTTCAAAATCGAAACAGCATGCGCCAAATATTTTTGTATTTCCGTCCATTTCGGAAATACGTAAGATGGCTAGATGCTTGCTGGGAGCTCCGGGAGCCAATCAGAAGAACCCACGGAGCTGATTGCCCTGTGGGTTCTCCTGATTGGGCGGGCTCAGAGGCCAGAGGGACCCTGCTGCTGGTGGTATCGAAGCCTGCTGCTCCTCCTCCTCCCATCCTCCTCCTTCTCCGCCTCCAGCAGCAGCAGCAGGGTCCCTCTTCCTCCCCGCCCCCACCGAGCGGCGCAGCCTGCTGCTCTTGCCCTGGCTGCTCTTGCCCCGCCCCTGTGGATGGCCCCTTCCACTGCCGGCGCCCCCCGTCACTCCAGGCTTGACAGGGAGCCAGGGGCGGGGACAGCTCAGCTGGCCACCACCCCGCCAGTCTCCCTGGTCATGGGGCCTTCCGTTCCTCCCCCCCCAATCCTCCGACCCTTTCTCTTCCTCCTCCTCCTCAGGCCGCGCCGCTCGGAGATGCCGAGGGCAAGGGGGGAGGAAGAGGAGGAGGAGCGGCAGGCCTGGTTATCAGGGAGACTGGTGGGGTGGTGGCCAGCTGAGCTGTCCCTGCCCCCGGCTCCATCTCAAGCTTGGAGTGACTGGGCAGCGGCGGCAGGAAGGGGCATCCATGGGGGCGGGGCAAGAGCAGCCGGGGGCGACCTCTCCCGCCGACCTCCTCACTCCACTCCCAGCCACCCACTCCCCGTGAGTATATGGCAGTGGAGAGGGAGGTTTAGGGCCCTTCTGCACAACTACATGATCCAGAATAATACCAATGGCAGGGGGATGTACAAAAACAAAAAAAACCCCAGAGTTGAGTTTTTTTCTTTTTCTTATTTTTTTTCATATTATCTGCTTTGAACTGGATTATCACAGGGCCCTTCCAGGCAGAATTTATATCCCAGGATCTGATCCCAGGTGTTCAGTTTATCCCAGATTAAAAATTAATAATTAAATTTAAAAAATATTGAAAAAATATTGGGGAAAAAAGGGCGCCATCTTTACAAAACATTTTGTAAATATTAACGAAATTTCGTAAATACCAAACTTTTTTTAGGGAAAATTTCGGATATATTTTTAAATACAAAATGCTGAGGCACCCTAAAAACGAAACGATATTAGAAACAAATTTTTCCGTTGTTACCCAGGCCTACAAACTAACATTAGCAGGCTTTAGCCTACTCACTCTCCTCAGGACTACGTTAGCTTTGGCTCAAATAAACAAATACATAGTAGCTTTAAAGGCAGCAGCCTTCACACTGAAGCTTTCTCACACAAGGCTTCTCTCACATGAGGCCTTCTCATAGTCTAAGGCCTACCTCACACTGTGAGGCTTATCTCACAGAGAAGTCTCCTCATAATGACTGAGGCATTCCCTCCCTGAAGCAAACTTAACACTGACAGGCTTGGCATACTCACTCTCCTCAGGACAACGCTAGCTTTGGCCCAAAGAAACAAATACATAGTAGCTTTACAAGCAGCAGCCTTCACACTGAAGCTTTCTCACACCGAGGCTTCTCTCACACTCAGCCTTCTCATAGATTAAGGCCTACCTCACAGAGAAGCCTTCTCACACAGACTGAGGAGTTTCCTCACTGAGACAAACTAACACTAACAGGCTTTTAGCCTACTCACTCTCCTCAGGACAACACAGCCTTTGGCCTACTAACTCTTTCAGTACTTGATTCACATTTTTGTAATTAAAAATACCTGGTTATTTTTTAATATTTTTGACAAGGGCCATTCCCACTAAATGACTGTCCTGCTGTTCTGTTCCCTGAAATAGTGTTGTCTCCACTTGGTCCCCCTTATGCAGTCCCCCCTCTGTTTCCTTTTAAAGGATGGAAAGGTAAATAAAACACGGGAGTCAGGAATTCAGCTGCCTGAGCTGCCTTCCTTCCGTTCTCGGGATTCCAGCTCTCACGTGCAGAGAGTGCATTCTGAGTCCACAGTTGTCCTGATGCATTGCTGCACTTCCTGTTACTCAAAGCATTTGTTGGTGTTGATGCTTTATCACTGGAGACTGCGCCAAGTGACTGGCGAGCCCTCTGTGTTATGCATATTTCAAGGAACTATCTTGGATGGAAAATTCTAATTTTGGAGAAAGGAATGCAATTGACAGCAAAGATGTAAATAGAGTCCTGGACAGAATGTGTGACCCCAGAGGTTACATTAAAAGGATATGACCTAATCCTTTGAATAGTTTAAATAGAGAAATTGATTTTTATTTTTTTTTGCCATTTTGTGTTTTGTTTTACTTTATGTGTGCATCTGGAGGGTTGAGGCAGCCAGCCCTTTTGCTATGTCTCAAACCATAACCAGCCCTTTGGCCATGTCTCAAATGTGTTACGCTTCTGCCATCTACTGGCTGTGCTTTGTGATATACAGAATTCCCTTAAATTAAATTAAATATTCTCAATGACTATTTAAATAGGTAAAAGTAATGGTTTCCCCTTGACATTAAGTCTAGTCATGTCCGACTCTGGGGGGTAGTGCTCATGAGGTAGGCCTTAGACAATGAGAGGGCTGAGTGTGAGAGAAGCCTCATGTGAGAAAGTTTCAGTGTGAAGGCTGCTGCCTTTAAATCTCCATTTTTAAGCCAAAGAACTAGCATTGTCCATAGACATCTCCAAGGTTATGTGGCCAGCGTGACTGCACGGAATGCTGTTACCTTTCCACAGAAGCGGTACCGATTGATCTACTCATGTTTGCATGTTTTCAAACTGCTAGGTTGGCAGAAGCTGGGGCTGACAACGGGAGCTCACCCCGCTCCCCAGATTCAAATGTCAACCTTTCGGTCAGCAAGTTCAGCAGCTCAGGTTTAAACCGCTGTGCCACTGACTATTTATTTAGGCTTATTTGATTTCAGTACGATTTTTTTTTCATTGTGATTTCCAGTTAGAATGAGTAATATAAATGAATGTTGGTATAGAATAGGGTCCTCAAACTTTTTAAACAGATGGCCAGGTCATAGTACCTCAAACTGTTGGAGGGCCGGATTATAATTTGGAAAAAAAAATGAATGAATTCCTATGCACACTGCACATACCTTATTTGTAGTGCAAAAAACAATGCAATAATTAAAATAATTAGCCGGTTTGAGTCCCCTTCGGGGTTAGAAGGGCGGCGGCATATAAATGTCATAGATAAATAAATAAATAAAATGAAAAAATAATGTTAACGAATCTAAACGTATTAGTATTTCAATGGGAAGTATGGGCCTGCTTTTGGCTGATGAGATAGGATTGTTGTTGTGTGTTTTCCAGTAGTTTCAGACAGGTTGACCCTGAGCGAGGGCCAGGTAAATGACCTTGGAGGGCCGTATTTGGCCCCTGGGCCTTAGGGGGCTGATCTAATATCCCTAGGCAGGGAGTTCCACAGCTGAGGGGCCACCACAGAGAAGGCCCTGTCTCTCGTCCCTGTCAAATGTGCTTGTGAAGCAGGTAGGATCGAGTGCAGGGCCTCCTCAAACGATATCAAGTTCCTGGAAGGTTCATAAGGAGAGATGCGTTCAGATAGATAAGCTGGTATTTACATTACGATTCATAACTGTAGCAAAATGACAGTTATGAAGTAGCAACGAAAATAATGTTATGGTTGGGGGGTCACTACAACATGAGGAACTGTATGAAGGGGTCGCGGCATTAGGAAGGCTGAGAAACATTGCTCTAGTGGCTTCATTGAGGACTCTTCAGACATGAGTGATAAGGTTCCCTGGAAAACTGAACTAAATCGTTCTGTGACTCTGTTTGGACACTAGCAAGAGCCTTAAGTCTTCTGCCTCCCATGTAATGGAGTGCTCTGTGCATGCAGGTCTGTTGTATATATTTAGTATGTGGAGTCTCTCTTTCTCAATCCCTTCCTTCCTTCCTTCCTTCTCGCAGTGAAACTGGAGAGATTTGAGATCCCGGTCAAGGTGCGCCTAAGCCCCGAGCCGTGGACCCCGGAGACAGGCCTCGTGACGGACGCTTTCAAGCTGAAGAGGAAAGAGCTGAAGAACCATTACCTCAACGACATTGAGCGAATGTACGGGGGGAAATAGCCTCCCAAGCCGTTCTGAAGTCAGAAACGGGTCAAGAGACATTATTCCTTCAAACGTGGCATTTTTTTCCTTGTGTCCCTGGAGGCAGGCAACGCTGGAAAGGAGGAACTAACAGAGCCACACGTCTTCAAGATGCTGTCAAAGCGAGTGACCACTGCCATGGTTTCATGCGATCACCTCCCGCCCTGGACGGTCGTGGTCACATGAAACTCCCTCATTGGATCAACCACGGTTTCTGCCTTTATATTCCGGCTTCTCTTACCTGTGAGGAGTTAGATCGCCTAATTCCAATACGATACGTTGTTGTTGTTTTGAGGGTTTTTTTTGTAATGGAGGAAAGATAATGTATATATGGGGAAAAAGTGAAGGAAAACGGTAGGCCAGGCTGTGTCCTTTTCAGTATGCTGCTCAGAAATTGACAATCTCAGGTCCTTTGCCCGGGAGAGTATCTCCTTTTGATTGTCACAGAGAAAAAAAGGAGAAAAGTTTGTATTGTCGAAGGCTTTCATGGCCGGAATCACCGGGTTGCTGTGAGTTTTCCAGTCTGTCTGGCCATGTTCCAGAAGCATTCTCTCCTGATGTTTCTCCCACATCTATGGCAGGCATCCTCAGAGGTTGTAAGGTCTGTTGGAAACTAGGAAAATGGGGTTTATATATCTGAGGAATAATGTCCAGGGTGGGAGAAAGAACTCTTGTTTGTTGGAGGCAAGTGTGAATGTTGCAATTGGCCACCCTGATTAGCACTGAATGATCTTGCAGCTTCAAAGTCTGTCTGCTTCCTGCCTGGGGGAATCCTTTGTTGAGAGTTGTAAGCTGGCCCAGATTGTTTTCTGTCTGGCATTTTCCTGTTGTTTGAGTGTTGTTCTTTATTTATTTGTTTATTTATTTCAGATATTTGTACCCCGCCCTTCTCAACCCCCCAGCAACAATTTGATGTCTCCAATATACACATAATAAAATCCATAATAAAATCCAATAATTACATACATTTAAAACATTAAATCACATTAATGAATTAAAATCTGTTTCCGTTTCAATAACAGCCTGGTGGCCTTATCTGAGTCGAATTCTGTAGTTAGAGACTCCATCACGCACGTCCATATTCCATATCCATAGCGATTGTCATCATTTTCACTGTCCTGGTTTTAGACAGGAAGATCTGGGCTTTGAAGCTGCAAGGCCATTCAGTGCTAATCAAGGTGACCAATTGCAACATTCACATTTACCTCCTGCAGACAAGTTCTTTCTCCCACCCTGGACATTATTCCACAGATATATAAATCTCAGTTGCCTAGTTTCCAACAGACCTCACAACCTCTGAGGATGCCTGTCATAAATGTGGGCAAAACGTCAGGAGAGAATGCTTCTGGAACATAGCCACACAGTCTGAAAAAATCACAGCAACCCAGGAGAAAAGTTGTCTTCTGAAACGTTGCTTCCACAGAGCCAAAAACTGACAGACCAACACACAACATGTTGATTCCTGTAACGGAAACCCCATAGCAAATCCTAATGGAATATACACAATGTGCAGTATCTTAAGCTGCTAAAGAGGACCTTCTGGCTGTGTGGAAGTCTTCCTGTGGTACTTTGAGAGCATTCAGAGCCCAGTTATTTCTTATTTGACTTCAGAGGTGGAAGCGCAGCCTTGAACGCCAGTATTTTTCTTCTCCGATCTTTCCTGCCACTCACTTGAGCACAGGCCACATCTTTCCCTCCCAACAACCCACTAATTCAACGTGGAAGGGACAAAAATGATGGATATTGCCTGTATTTTTCATTACTTGGAGTATTTATAGTGCCTCAAAGGGAGACTAGTATACTTACAAAGAACAGAGCTGAACTTAAAAAGATCTGCAAACGAACTCAATCTTGTCTTCCCCTTTTGACACTGCCATTTGGATTATTTATCTTACTCCAGAAGGATTTTAAGTGACAGGTTTAGTGGTTGTTACCATCACTGACACTGCTTTGGCTTGCAATAGTAAGGATAGTACAGGCATGGGCAAATTTGGGCCTTCTGGGTGTTTTGGACTTCAACTCCCATAATTCCTAACAGCCTCAGGCCCCTTCCTTTCCCTCCTCAGCCGCATAAACGCCTTCAGCAGCTCATTAAACCAGAGCACACTCCAAATTCTGTCTCCCTCTGCTTCCCTTGGCATTTTGCATAGCTGAAGCCTGAACAAAAATGTAACTGTAACAAAAAGTCCCAGGCTCAGCCTGCACCCCTGACATTGCCCAACCAGCTTAAGCAGCCGAGGGGGGAAAGGAAGGGGCCTGAGGCTGTTAGGAATTGTGGGAGTTGAAGTCCAAAACACCCAGAGGGCCCAAAGTTTCCCCATGGCTGGGCTAGTACAATTTTCAGATCCAATGTATTGTTGAAGGCTTTCATAGCCGGGATCACTGGGTTGTTGTGAGTTTTCTGGGCTGTATGGCTGTGTTTCAGAAGCATTCTCTCCTGACGTTTTGCCTGCATCTATAGCATCCTAGAGGTTGTGAGGACTTCACAACCTCTGAGGATGCCCGCCATAGATGCAGGCGAAACGTCAGGAGAGAATGCTTCTGAAACACAGCCATACAGCCCAGAAAACTCACAACAACCCATTTTCGGATCCATTTCTTTACTTCCTTTCAAAGCAGTGCAGCCGATGGACAAAGTAGTTTATGAATTCTCTCTGTTCATGCACGTTCGTTCTTCTCAAGTGTGACGTTTCCGTATCTCGGCTTCTCTTCCAATCAAGCCCGTCCACTCTTGGGAATTTAGAAGTTTTCTGTTTTCATACTTTGAAGGGGGCATTTTCTCTCTATTGATCGTAAACACGTCGCAGGAAACAGAAGTCACGCCTGAAAACCGTCTCTCTTTTTCTCGATGTGTGACAAACGTGACTCTTCGAAAGTTTGTTTTAACTGGCTTGCCAAAAGGGAAAAAAGTCTGTATTTAAGAAACCTTTTTGTCTTTTTTTATATTATTTGATTGTTTGTTTGTGAACATGTTTATTTAAAAAAAAATACTGGAAAAAAACTATTTGGTGGGACGGCGCCCCTCTCCTGTGGTTTGTGTTCTTCCTGTGTGCTGCAGTCCGCAAGTGTCTTCTTTGGCCAGATTCATGCTCTGGGCTCACGTCCTCCTTGTAGTGCGTTCACACTTGAATTAGAAATACTGTAAAAAGACGTGGCAATCCTCCATGCTGTTCTACTTTGCACTTTTTTTCTCAGTCTATATATATATAGTGTATATATAGTGTATATATACACACACATTATATATATGCATATATACATTATATATACTATATATATATATAGGTTGCTTCCATTTTTTGTATATAATGTAGTCTTTGATTGCAATGTGTATACATGGCGCTGAAATAATTTATGAGAGAGATCTCTTTGACTCATAATAATACTTAAAATATGTATATTATGCTCAAAGGGGGAGGAAAAAATCTGATATTGTTTCTACAGGATGGAGGAGTTTTTTGTATGAAATACTGTTTTCAGTACACCACAGTTTTAAATTCAACTTGGTCCTGGGTTTTTTTGTTTGTATGTTTCCTCTAGTTTGAGTGTATGTGCGGGTCAGCCGACTTTCAAAGCAGCAATGAATCACTAATCGGAGATATACGTAAAATTACGAGCCATTGTTTTGTCGAAGATTTTCATGGCCGGAGTTACTGGGTTGCTGGGAGTAGTCTGAGTTGTCGGGCCATGTTCCAGAAGCATTCTTTCCTGACATTTCGCCCACATCTATGGCAGGCATTCTTAGAGGTTGTGAGGTCTGTTAATAATTAGGCCAACTCTGTGGAATGTTCTGGGTGGGAGAAAAAACTCTTGTCTGCCTGAGGCAAGTGTGAATGTTACAGTTTGCAAGCTTGATTAGCACTGAATAGCCTTGCAGCTTCATACCTCCCAAAAAAGGATCTCCCCAGGCATGAAGCAGCCAGCCTTTGAAGGTGCAAGGCTATTCAATGCTAATCAAGGTGGCCAATTGCAATATTCACACTTGCCTCAAGCAGACAAGAGTTTTTTCTCCCATCCTGAACATCCCACAGATATATAATCCTCACTTGCCTTGCAGCTTCAAAGGCTGGCTGGTTCCTGCCTGGGGGAATCCTTTGATGGGAGTGTTAGTTGGCCCTTATTTTTTCCTATACATAGAAGCCATTGAAATCCCCAGCATGTGGACAGTTTCAACAGAAAGGAGGAAACCATGAAAATGAACAAAATCTGACTAGCAGTATTTAAAAAAAAAAAAAATTAGGACAGCAAATAAAGAGCAACACTTTAAAAATGAAATTCCAGAGAGGAAGTAATCGGGGCCAGCTAACACCTCCTAACAAAGGATCCCTCAGGCAGCAACCAGCCAGGCTTTGAAGCTGCATGGCCATTGAGTAATAATCAAGGTGGCCAATTTCTCCCTCCCTGGACATTATTCCAGAGATATATAAACACCAGTGGCCTAGTTTCCAACAGGCTTCACAACCTCTGAGGATGCCTGCCATAGATGTGGACGAAACGTCAAAAGAGAATGTTTCTGGAACATAGCCGTACAGCCCGGAAAACTCAAAGCAGCCCCCTTACGAACCATTGTTTGGACCAGCGAGACCAGTATCAGTTCTTAAGGTATTTTATGTAGCTTCCATCCATGCCTTTCCAGCCAGAGCTGCACTGGCAACCGATTTAGTAGATATTTTGATCCGTCCGCTTTGCAAAAGTCTAGACTTGGGACCAGAAAAATGCCTCGCGCATACACTTGTTTACATGTATAGAGGAGATGTTTCCGCTATGGACGTGTGGGTTTTTATTCCACCATTGGGGTCTGTTACATTTGATACACAAAAAATTGTGAAATGAGAAAGCGTGTGCAGAGTAAATAGCTCTTTATGTGCTTCCAGGTTGGACGGCGGCTAACAAAGTTTGTTTCGAATGTATATCCTTTGGCCGTCGTCCCTTTGCGCTGATGTTCGTATGGGCCAGCCTCATTTTCATTGTGCATGGAATATGTTTCTTAAACAACTCTCCAGTGCAGAATACATCTTGATTTGTGAAGAAAGTCTGTGTTGAAGAGTTTGTTCTTCTGCAGATAGTTTTAACTTTTCAAAGCTGTTTTCCCTCATTTGTTTGCTTTGAAGTATTATCAGTGTCACAAGGAACACGTTGCTTCTCTGTACTATCGTAGATAACTACCTGTGTTATACAGCCTTTTATAGAGTGGGAAAAACATGTGTTACAACACTTTGGCTCTTTGTAACTTAAATCTTTATATCGCAGCACATTTTGGAGTATTCTTTCCTACGCCATTCCTGCACATACACCGTAGTGTATTTTTGCCTTGAAAATGCAAATGCTCCAGGGTTTAATCCATAACATTGTAGAGCAGCCTTTCTCAACCTGGGGGCCGGGACCCCCAGGTTGGGGGTTGTGTGGGGGTTTCAGAGAGGTCGCCTTCTGAACACATATTTCTGATGGTCTTAGGAAGCTCTTTGGCAGAGAAGGATGAAGATCTCTCCACCTGTCCTCCTCTCCCTTTTGGGAAACAGACGGCGATCCTTCCACCAAAAACCCTCCTCCACGGTGATTGCTCGTCCTCTCAGCCACTTGTTTCGAGACTCCCAAGTGGAAAGGGGAGAGCAGGCATGCTCTGCACATGGCAGCATGGTACACACGCACAACCAGGTGAGGGAGAGCATGTGAGGCTGGAGGGAGGCTCATACTAGCGAATCCCTTCAAGGTATGGGGGTTCTGTATGGGAAGGTTGACCTAATTCTATTGCTGATGGGGTTCAGCATGCTCTTTGATTGTAGGTGGACTATAAATCCCTGCAACTACAACTCCCAAATGACAAAATCAATCCCCCACAATGGGCTACCACTTGCTTTGTTTGTAGAATGGTCCCAATGGTGTTGCTGCATTGCTGCTCACTTCTGATAGTCTCATCACACTAGAGGAGTGCTTCTCAACCTGGGAGTTGTGACCCCGGGAGGGGGGGGTCACGAGGGGTGTCAGAAGGGTCACCAAAGACCATCAGAAAATACAGTATTTTCTGTTGGTCATGGGGATTCTGTGTGGGAAGTTTGGTCCAATTCTGTCATTGGTGGAGTTCAGAATGCTCTTTGATTGTAGGTGAACTATAAATCCCCTTAACTACAACTCCCAAATGTCAAGGTCTGTTTTCCCCAAACTCCACCAGTGTTTACATTTGTGCATATTGCGTATTCGTGCCAAGCTTGGTCCAGATCCATCATTGTTTGAGTCCACAGTACTCTCAGGATGTAGGTGAACTACAACTCCGAAACTCAAGGTCAGTGCCCACTGAACTCTTCCAGTATTATCTGTTGTTCACTAGAGTTCTCTGTCCCAAGTTTGGTTCAATTCCATCGTTGGTGGAGTTCATAATGCCATTTGTTTGCATGTTAACTATAAATCCCTGCAACTACAATTCCCAAATAACAAAATCAATCCTGCCCACCAGTATTCAAATGTGGGCATATGGGGTATTTGTGCCAAATTTGGTCCAACAAACGAAAATACATCCAGCATATCAGATATTTACATGATGATTAATAACAGGAGCAAAATTACAGTTGTGAAGTAGCAACGAAAATAATGTTATGGTTGGGGGTCACCACAACATGAGGAACTGTATTAAGGGGTCGCGGCATTAGGAAGGTTGAGAACGCTGCTTAAGAGGAAGGACTGAGGGAGTTGGGTACAAGTTTAGCTTGGAGAAAAGGGAAATTCCCGAGACAGGACAAACTTGTCCTGCTCTCCATCAGCAAACTCCCAATTTCCTCCCTGCCTCTGGAGCAAGGAAAGATGACCAAAAAAGGCTTAGAACAGGATGCTGTTCGGCATCTGTTTTATCCAAGTATCTGCAGGGACTGCTTTATTTCCCTTCAGTTTGTACTGGGAAATACATTACATTAGTTTTAGGGGAAGGCGAAGTACAACTAGTCTCTCTGCTGAAACTATTTTGCACTTCGTTGTCTCTAAAAGGCAAAACTTTCATTCCCTACAACAGTGTTTCATAGAATCCTAGAGTTGGAAGAGACCTCATGGGCCATCCAGTCCAACCCCCTGCCAAGAAGCAGGAATATTGCATTCAAAGCATCCCCGGCAGATGGCCATCCAGCCTCTGTTTAAAAGCTTCCAAAGAAGGAGCCTCCACCACACTCAGGGGCAGAGAGTTCCACTGCTGAACGGCTTTCCCAGTCAGGAAGTTCTTCCTCATGTTCAGATGGAATCTCCTTTCTCAACCTTCCTAATGCCTCGGCCACACGGAACCCCCATGATCAACAGAAAATGCAGTGTTTTCTGATGGTCTTTGGCAACCCCTCTGACACCACCCTCATGACCCCCTCAGGTGTCCCAACCCCAGGTTGAGAAACAGTGCTCTTAAGTTGTAGGTTTTTTGGGCTATATGGCCATATTGGAGCCCCCGGTGGCGCAGTGGGTTAAAGCACTGAGCTGCTGAGCTTGTTGATGAAAGGTCGCAGGTTCGATTCCGGGGAGCGGCGTGAGCTTCCGCTGTCAGCCCTAGCTTCTGCCAACCTAGCAGTTCGAAAACATGCAAATGTGAGTAGATCAATATACCGCTCCGGTGGGAAGGTAACGGCTTTCCATGCAGTCATGCCGGCCACATGACCTTGGAGGTGTCTACGGACAACGCTGGCTCTTCGGCTTAGAAATGGAGATGAGCACCACACCCCAGAGTCAGACATGACTGGACTTAATGTCAGGGGTCTACCTTTACCTTTTTACCTTGTGTTAAGGACTGGAAGTTCTTGATGTTGGCAAGCATCCTCAGAGGTTGTGAGGTCTCACAACCTCTGAGGATGCTTGTCATAGATGCAAGCAAAACATCAGGAGAGAATGCTTCTAGAATATGGCCATATAGCCCAAAAAACCTACATCAACCCAGTGATTCCAGCCATGAAAGCCTTCGACACTGCTCTTAAGGCTCTTTTTTTTTCAGAGCTTGGATCATCTTGGTTGCTCTTCTCTAAGAAACAAAGTCAAGAAAGGGCTATAGAAGTTACCAGCTTTCATTTGTGTGATGATAATTAAAACCAAAGGATTCCTTTGGCGAAACGGTTGTTGTAGTTTTGAAATGTATAAAACGGTAACACATGGAGCCAGACTAGTGGGTCACTTAGGCAAAGTACAAAGTGGTCTGAGATCAGTTAAAGGAGGCCAGTCTAGCTCGTAGCTAAGGATTTCTGAAGCCTGGCGTCACCCACCCTAAAAGGCCCTCCTCCTGTTTTATTCTTGTTTAACGTCCCTCTTGCCAACTGTGCAAAAAACCAAAACAAAAGCTTTTTTCAACTGCACATTATTGTATTCCTCGACTGCACAAAACGTGCCCAGCTGCACAATGGAATCCTGCCTGCCTCTTTTCACTAGCAAAATCCCATCCAAAGAAAAAGAGACGGGAGGGCCTCTCCCTCGCCATTCCACCCTTGGTTTTTTTTTACTAAGCAAAGCCTGGGATTTATGGGGAGGCGAGGGAGGGACTGAGGGTTGCCCCAGCTGCTGCTTTTGTCCCTCCTGCTAAGCCAAAACAGACCAGACTGAGAAGAGGGAGAGGAGGAGAAAGAAGGAAGGAGCAAGGAGGGAAGGAAAAGAGGTAGGTTGGAAGCAAGAAAAAGTGGGAAGGAAAAAGAGAAAGAAGGAAAGGACACAAGGCTCAACCCAGATCCAGAGGGCAAAGAACTGCATCTCTTCCAGAGCCATGAACTGCAGCGAGAGCCGTCGCCTCCACCGCCTCCTGATCCAACTCTGGCAGGAGCTTCATGGTGGTGGCACCAACTCCAGCCCCAGCTTGCCGTCTCCGTTGCCGCCGGAGGCTGGCAGCTCTGCCCAAGCCGGGACCGAAGATGATGCCTACCTGTACATCCTGCTGATCATGATCTTCTACGGCTGCCTTGCCGGCGGCCTGATCCTGGCTTACACACGCTCCCGAAAATTGGAGTCCAAGCACGACCCTTACCACCTCTACATCGAGAGGGACTGGGCACCTGGAGGGAGCAGCCTGGCCGGAGGGGCCAAAGGCAGGGAGGGTGGCCTGGAGGAAGGAGAAGCTCTCTCTGCTGAAATCGCCGCTGCCTAGGATGTCCTCTCCATCACACTCAGCTTCCCAACAGACAAGACGGCAAAGATCCAACCTCAAAGACCTTCGTTTGGACTCCTGGGCATCAGAAGACTGCAGGTTCAGTGACACACTTGAAGAGTATGGCGCAGAAATGTGTTTTTAGCAAATGTGGGGGATGGATAGTCTCCACCAGAATTTCAAATAGCGCCAGGCTTTGGTATCTTAATAAAAAGCAAAGCCTAGATGCATTACATGAGGGGAAGGTGGGGGACTCTGTGTCTACAAGTCCCAGGATCTCCCATTCAACATCATAGCATCTGGATTTCTCTAGAAAAAGCAGTTTGGAAATTTATTTTTAGGTGGTATGGGTATCACATCTCCCATTGATTGCTTTTCCAAATGTGTTTGTGATGTCTGCCTAGGAAACATTAAAGACTTGGGATGGGCAGCTGTGTGGGCCGTAAATTGTCTGAGGATGGGAAATGCTGGCGGTTGGGGCAACTGCGCACAAAAGGATGGGCCCAACACCCCATGGGAGCATCTGGCCAAAGACAAGCCTCAGCTGACTGGACACCCTTGAAAGGGACATTGATTGTTGCCGGTTGAAAAAGATTTCAAGACTTTTGGAACAACAATGACTGAGGCCATCTGCTTCCCTCCAGCCCAGCTTTCCCAACCCATTTGAGCTAAGTTTTCGAGAGTGGACTTTCCTAAGGTAAAGGTTTTCCCCTGACATTAAGTCCGGTCGTGTCCGACTCTGGGGGTTGGTGCTCATCTCCATTTCTAAGCCAAAGAGCTGGCATTGTCCGTAGACACCTCCAAGGTCATGTGGCCAGCATGACTGCATAAAGCGCCCTTACCCTCCCACCGGAGCAGTACCTATTGATCTACTCACATTTGCATGTTTTCAAACTGCTAGGTTGTCAAAAGCTGGGGATGACAGTGGAAGCTCATGCCGTTCCCCAGATTCAAACCTGTGACATTTCGGTCAACAAATTTAGCAGCTCAGTGGTTTAACCCACTGCACCACCGGGGATCCCCAGACTTTCCTACTACCAGCATATTCTGAGCTGTCTCTATTCCGATCCTGTTATTTTGGGGTAACTTTGTTGGTTTGTGACCAAAGCTTGCTTTTTTGGAGGCAGGGAATTACAACTCACACAGAATGAAAAGGCATAGTTTATCTTCCTCTTTTCTCTTTCTCCTCCTTTGTCACATCCTTCTCTTTTCCTGTCTCTCCTCCTTTCGTTCATCCTGTCACCCTTTCTTCCTTTGTCCTATTCCTGGTCTCCTTTTTCTTTCTCCTTCCATCTCCTTTTCCTGACACTCTTTCTCCCCGTCTCTCTCTGCCACCCTCTCTTTTTCCTTCTCTTATTCTCTTCTTCTTTCTGCAAAATTCCAGTGAAGGGACAGACCTGACATTGGATTTGGAGACTCGGTTCCAACATTTGCCATGGTTTCTTGCAAATAAGATTGTTGGCTCCAGCTTTCTCTCCCCTGGGTCTGAGCCAGGCTTATTTAAGCCTGCAAGGCAGAGAACCTTCATCCTTTATTGAAGCAGCTCATGGGGTTGTTGACTCAAACTGGCCATCCCCTTTCAGCCTCATATGGTCAAAGCAGAATGGAAGCCAACGGACGACAGAGGCGGGTGGGAGGAGAAGACACAGGACTCGAACCAAGCCTTTCCCCAATGGCATTTCTCCTGTTTCCAAGCAAATGGAAGGTTTGGGGATGTAGATTAGGCACAAAAGACATTGGAAAAATTACTTGTGGGTCACAAAGGAACCTTCAAAGAGGAAGTGGGCTACAAAAGAACTTGGAAAAGGTATTTTTGGGGCCATAGCTCTAAGATGCCCATAACTATTCATGCTCCTGAACCTCCAGATTGCGATTTTTAACACAAAAAGAAATTCATATGAATTTTCCACTCCTTTTATGACTCAAAACAACTGCAAAGTATTACTCCTCTATCTATTTATCAGTCGTATTTCCCAGCCTCTGCTGTTTCAGGTATTTTGGACTTCAGCTCCCAGTTTATCAGCTGTTGGGAATTGTGGGAGCTGAAGTCAAAACATCTGGAGGATCACAGTTTGAAAAACTGCAATAGACATTTGCTAGGAAGTCTGCAAATCTAATTTCTAAAGCTGTGGTTCTCAACCTGTGGGGTCCCCAGATGTTTTGGCCTTCGACTCTCAGAAATCCTAACAGCTGGTAAACTGGTTGGGATTTCTGAGAGTTGTAGGACAAATTTATGGCAGTGGTTCTCAACCTGTGTGTCTCCAGGTGTTTTGGCCTACAACTCCCAGAAATCCCAGCCAGTTTGCCAGCTGTTAGGATTTCTGGGAGTCGAAGGCCAAAACATCTGGGGACCCACAGGTTGAGAACCACTGACCTAGGGAATCACAGGTTGAGAACTACTGCTCTGAAGGAAGCATACCATTGCATTACCTGGAACATCATCTTACAAATTCCTAGAGACACCGTTTTTCCTCATGTACAGAAGTGCAGATATAGGTTTTGTGGTTACAAGGGCTTTCCTGTCTTCTGCATTGCCTGCTCAGTGACATATGCCTAAGTACACTGCATGTCTGTAACTCGGGAGCATCTCATGCCCAACATCCTTCATCAGGAGGTCTGTTTAGTTGGCCATTGGGCTGCAGATCTGTGAGATGCTCCCATTGCCAACGTTTCCTCCACATGTATTCCTTGACAAGTTCTGGTCACATTTTGGGCCAAAGATAACCTGGCGAATTGAAACTATTCTGCAAGTTGCTTCTGGTGTGAGAGAATGGGCCGTCTACAAGGACGTTGCCCAGGGGACAGCCGGATGTGTTACGGCAAAACCAAGAGCCACGGTAGCGCAATGGGTTAAACCCTTGTGCCAGCTGAACTGCTCACCTGAATACCTGAAGGCCAGTAGTTTGAATCTGTGAGATGTGGTGAGCTCCAGTCTGTCAGCTCCAGCTTCCCATGGTGGACATGATAGTAACACATCCGGGCGTCCCCTGGGCATAGTCCGGATGTGTTACAGCAAAACCAAGAGCCATGGTAGTGCAATGGGTTGAACTCTTGTGCCGGCTGAACTCCTAACCTGAATACCTGAAGGTCAGTAGTTTGAATCTGTGAGATGCGGTGAGCTCCAGTCTGTCAGCTCCAGCTTCCCATGGTGGACATGATGGTAACACATCCGGGCATCCCCTGGGCATAGTCCGGATGTGTTACAGCAAAACCAAGAGCCATGGTAGTGCAATGGGTTGAACTCTTGTGCCGGCTGAACTCCTAACCTGAATACCTGAAGGTCAGTAGTTTGAATCTGTGAGATGCGGTGAGCTCCAGTCTGTCAGCTCCAGCTTCCCATGGTGGACATGATGGTAACACATCCGGGCATCCCCTGGGCATAGTCCGGATGTGTTACAGCAAAACCAAGAGCCATGGTAGTGCAATGGGTTGAACTCTTGTGCCGGCTGAACTCCTAACCTGAATACCTGAAGGTCAGTAGTTTGAATCTGTGAGATGCGGTGAGCTCCAGTCTGTCAGCTCCAGCTTCCCATGGTGGACATGATGATAACACATCCGGGCATCCCCTGGGCATAGTCCGGATGTGTTACAGCAAAACCAAGAGCCATGGTAGTGCAATGGGTTGAACTCTTGTGCCGGCTGAACTCCTAACCTGAATACCTGAAGGTCAGTAGTTTGAATCTGTGAGATGCGGTGAGCTCCAGTCTGTCAGCTCCAGCTTCCCATGGTGGACATGATGATAACACATCGGGGTGTCCCCTGGCAACATCCTTGTAGATGACCTATTCTCTCACACCAGAAGCAACTTGCAGAATAGTCTCTATTCGCTTCTGATATTAAAAAAGCTGCAAAATCTCAGGGGTTGGGGTGATTTGGGACCCCCATCCTCCCCCAATCCAGATCAACAAATATATACTACTTATACATCAGAACAGAAATAGCTTCTAACCCACCAAAGTGTCATTCCTGGGATACACAAAGGTGGCCAAAAAGAAGAGTAAAAAGGATCCTTCTACCTCCATCGCATATCCACTCCTGTTATAGTTAATTCCTTCAGAGTCTATTGAGATCCTAGGATATGTGTATGCTGCTAGGAATATTTCTTCCATTTAAAATAAAGACATGGACAGCTTGTACTTGTTTGTTGTGAGAGTTGTTCTTTCTGCGCTAAAACAAACCCTACAGCTGGAGGAGGATGAATATTACTTAAAAGGCGGAGTGTAACACCAAAAATTGGGATAGATTGATAGGGATCCACAGTTAGGTGGATCTGTAATTGGCTAAGTGAACGAACCCAGAGGGTGCTCACCAATGCTTACTCTTCTTCCTAGAAAGAACTGACAAGTGGAGTGCCATAAGTAGTGTTTTGTCCTGGGCCTGGTTCTGTCTAACATCTTTATTATTGACATAGATGAAGGGTTAGAAGGCATGGTCATCACGTTTGCAGACCACAGCAAATGGGGAGGGAGAGCTAATACTCCAGAAGACAGGAACAGAACTTAACAGATTAGAGAAATGATGGGCCAAAACTAACAAAATGAAGTCCAACAGGGACAAATGCAAGATACTCCACTTAGGCAGAAAAAAGGTAATACAAAGATACAGAATGGGGGACGCCTGGTTTGACAGCAGGATGTATGAAAAAGATCTTGGAGACCTCATGGACAGGAAGGTGAACATGAGCCAACAATGTCATGCAACAGCTAAAAAAGCCAATGGGATTTTGGCCTGCATAAATAGGGGTATAGTGTCTAGATCCAGGGAAGTCATACTCCTCCTCTATTCTGCCTTGGTTAGACCGCACCTGGAATCACACAACTCTGTAATTTAAGGGAGATGTTGCCAAGCTGGAATGTCTCCAGAAAAGGATGACTCAAATGATCAAGGGTCTGGAGAACAAGCCCCATGAGGAGTGGCTTAATGAGCTGGGCATGTTTAGCCTGCAGAAGAGAAGGCTGAGAGGAGACATACTGGGCAATAATAATATTTATTTATTTGACCAGTCATATGACCATTTCAAATAGAACATGAGTTAAAAACAAGGCAAAAAGGTGAGGACAGTATATTTACAGTCAGAGTCCTATTTTCCTGGTTCTTCTTTCAGGAAATCTGCTCTTTTCTTGATAGCTTTCAGAATAAAAAAGCTTACTCTGATTATAATGGATATTTTCTGTCTTTGCAAGATAATTTCTGTTGGGGGACCTAAAGTTGGATAATACTGGATGTAAATATCTGTCTCACAGTTCAGTGTATGCTGGACAGTCAATTAAAAAATGTTCAATATACCCCATACGCAGAACAAATATGTATAAATATGTGAGGGGAAGTCATAGGGAAGAGGGAACAAGCTTGTTTTCTGCTGCTCTGGAGACTAGGATGCAGAACAATGGCTACATACTACAGGAAAGAAGATTCCACCTGAACATTAGGAAGAACTTTCCTAACTGTGAGAGCTGTTCAGCAGTGGAACTCTCTGCCCCAAAGTGTGGTGGAGACTTCTTCTTTTGAGGCTTTTAACCAGAGACTGGATGGCCATCTGTCGGGGGTGCTTTAAGGGCAACTTTCCTGCTTCTTGGTAGGGGGTTGGACTGGATGGCCCATGAGGTCTCTTCCAACCTCTATATTCTATGATTCTATACTCTAAGGCAGTGGTTCTCAACGAGGGGTCCCCAGATGTTTTTGGCCTTCAACTCCCAGAAATCCTTACAGCTGGTAAACTGACTGGGATTTCTGGGAGTTGAGATTTCTCAACCTGGGGACCCCTGGTTGAGAACTACTGGTCTAAGGGTTGCCCTTTGCACATCCCAGATTTAACAGCCAATGAACGAAAATATGTTTATAGAAAGAAAACCCTGATCACTGCGGCTTTTTTGTGAAGGGCCAGAGGACAGTTCCACCTTGTCTCCTGCATATGTCATCAGTTGAGGACCCCTCCCCACAGCACAAACTGCCGCTCTGGGCCAGAGTGAAGAGAGCGGGGACCAGAAGACAGTTCCACCTTGTACCCTGTTATGCTAATAATCTATATATATAAAAATGCTCTGTGCATAATGAGTACCTTAAAAACAAAAGAACCAATGAACGAAATCACACCAAATTTGGCAACAAAATGTCTCACAACACAAGGAGTGACCATCACTCAAAAAAAATTATGATTTTGTCATTTGGGAGTTGTAGTTGCTGGGATTTATAGTTCACCTACAATCACAGAGCATTCTGAACCCCACCAATGATAGAATTGGGCCAAACCTCCCACACAGAACCCCCATGTGGGCCACAGCAACGCGTGGCAGGGGACGGCTAGTATAAAATATATAATTATATCATCATATTATTAGTAGTATTATATGTATAGTATAATATACCGGCAGTGTATTTATATATATTATAATTATATATTTATATTACATGTAATATTACTAATAATATTACAATATAATGGTATAGTACAATATAGTATTATATAATACTGATGTTGTACTATGCTAGTAACATAATATATTGTATGTATATATATATATATCTTGTAAGGCGCTCTGAGTTCCCTTTGGGGTGAGAAGAGCGGCATATAAATGACGCAAATAAATAAATTTTACTCAACATTTCTCCAAGCTGACTGAAAAGTAAAAAAACCGCTCCCTCCAAGAAGGAATCATTCACTTTAAAATCTGGACAATATATTGGAAAGTTTTATTTACATCTAACAGGTGTATTAATTCTAAAGATGTGGTACTTTTGACAGTGGACACAATCATAGACAATACAGTAAGAACAGAAGCGTGAATCTGTGATCTATGACCAACAAGTCAAACTCTCCACAGTCATCACTCCTAATCATTAGCATTACGCTACCGTGGCACCCTTAGCATATATGCAGGGAAACTGTAGTTTATTTGGCCTATTAAACTCCAAATGCCTCTTTTTTTGGGAGGTATATTCAACAGTTTTTTGGTTTTTTTTTTTTGCCAATCTGGTCCATTTAAGGCCTAAGAGGGGCTCTAAAAGAAATCATAAATAAAAACACTAGTCCCAGCCTTAGAAATGTAGTAAAATTGCTTCCTCCATTCCCTAGAGCAGACTTCCAAATTCCAGAAGGCCCTATTCCAGTTAGTTCAATGGTCAGGAGTTTTGGGAGTTGGAGTCCCAAATGGCTGGGCGCCCGCAGGTTGGAGACCTCTGCTCCAGGGAATGAGGGGAACAATTTCACTACCAGGACTGGCCTTACGTTTTGTAGACAAGCCTGATTTGCATTTTGGACAGTGACAGAAAAAATATATAACATAACTACAGAATTCTCCCTGCAGAAATATAAGCTTATCCTGCACACATCTTTCTCTGACCAAATTACCTGTTTAGATTAAGACCCTAAAACAAAAACTGGCCAAAACCCTGAGGCAAACCTCTGTCAGAGACCTTTTAATGTTTCTCGGAGGCAAAGGAAATGGGTTAACCATGCAAAACCTTTAAGGAGAGCACAGCCAACGTGTGCCAAACAGAATATGAAGAGCTTTAGGGGCCTGAATCCACTGCTTCCTAAATAATTCATCACTATAAAAAAATCAGGAAAGGCTTTCCCTTCTGATGTAGTCTACCCTGACCGTGAAGGCACCGAAGTCTTTTTGGTAGCAAGTTGGGTTTCATCTTGCAATTGTCTATTTTGCTCCCAAAGAGGACGCAGAAGGGAAAATGGTTCATACAGAGGGTGAGCCACCATTTCAAAAAGACTTTCATCTTGTCTGCAGAGGACGCTTCGCCTCCTTGTTGCCCGTTAACTGGGCCAATCCTGGAAGCGGAAACAGTCGCTCATGATCTTCCACACTGTGTTGTTGTTTGTGGTTTGCGCCGTCAGCAAGAAGTTCTGGTTGAAGTACTGCATCTTGTTCCCGTCAAATTTGACGCTGCCACAAGTCACGACGAGGACCGTGGTCTGGTTCTGCGTAGCTTGCTCTTCGGAGAGAGAATACAAAAGGTCAAAACACGCTCCTTCTAAAAGATACTACTTTTACACAGAACAATAACAAGCGTGGTACAATGGCTGGGGAGAAATCTGTTTGACAGCACTGTTTCCAAAGTTGTTTGTTTGTTTATTTATTTACTTACTGTATTTGTATACCGCCTTTCTCAGAAATGGGGCCACAAAGTGGAATCCACGACATGCAAGTGTGGAGAAGAGCAAACCACTGACCACCTGCTGCAATGCAACCTGAGCCCTGCCACATGCACAATGGAGGACCTTCTTGCGGCAACACCAGAGGCACTCCAAGTGGCCAGATACTGGTCAAAGGACATTTAATCAACTACCAAGCTTGCAAATTTTGTGTTTTATCTGTTTGTTTGTTTTGTTCTGTTAGAAATGTAATACAATTGTCTGGCTGCTCCTAACACGACAAATAAAGCCAGTCGGCAACTCAAGGCGGTTTCCAACAAATCAGTACATATAAAAACATGATACAGATTAAAACATTAAACAATATAAAACACCACAAAAGCAATAAAAACAACATCATTAGTGTCTCATTATTATCAAGTATTGTCCAGTTCCATTGTCAAATTGTTCGATTTCCTATAATAGCTACTCTGCATTTGTAAATGCTTGCTTGAACAGCCATGTTTTAACTTGCCTCCGAAATGTTAAGAGGGAGGGAGCAGATCTAATCTCCCTAGGGAGGGTGTTCCATAGCCGAGGGGCCACCACTGAGAAGGACCTGTCTCTTGTCCCCGCCAAACGTACTTGAGATGAATTTATTTGTTTATTTATTTAGAACTTTTATATACCGGTCTTCTCGACCTCCACAGAGGGACTCAGCCGGTTCACAACAAAAGATTCATAAACAATAGTTTAAAACATCACATCTCATAATACACTAACACATTAAAATACAATCATATAATTACATAAGGCAGAATGAAGTCACAATTCATCGCCATTCGTCCGTGTGGTCAGGAGATATTGACTCACTCATCAAATGCCAAATTCCAGAACCAAGTTTTCACCAGTTTTCTAAACGTCAGGAGATACGGGGCAGTTCTAATCTCTAGCAGGAGAGAGTTCCAGAGCCAAGGGGCCACCACCGAGAAGGCCCTGTCCCTCGTCCCCACCAGACGCGAGGGTGGTGGGACCGTGAGCAGGGCCCCTCCAAAAGATCTTAATAACCTTGATGGTTCATAGGGGAGAATCCGTTTAGACAGGTAAACTGGGCCCTGAGGGACTGAGAGCAGAGCCTCCCCAGACCTTAGGGTCCTTGATGGTTCATAAGGGGAAATCACCTTCCCATAACCCAGAGGGGCCATATAATGAGGCTACCTCCCTTGATCTGAGAGTTGCACTGTGAGCGTCGTAGGATCACTTACCATGGACAGGCTGGCAGTCGAAGGTCGTCACCTGGAACTCGCTGGAAGGCAGCATCTCAAAGAACTTGGAAAGGGCCTCCTGCCCCGACATGGCATTTCCATTCCAGACAAGCGCTGCATCATCTGTGTAGAGCCGGGTCAACACCTGAGGAACATTGCAGAGCATTACACATTATCAAAGGAGAAGCCGTCTTTTCAGGAATCCACCAGTCCTGAAAGACCTACAAATATTCCAGAGGTGGGATAGTATAGCATTTAAAGGGAAATTAGTTACATATTATAACATCTAGCTACCCCAGAAAGGATGTCCCAATCATGCCTCTCGGGCTTTTATTAAATTACAGGGATCTGTAGGTTTGTTTTCAAGTTGAATTTGAATTTGTATTTGTATGATCATAAAAATAAACCATAAAAATGAGAACTTACAGTTTTAAGTATAAATCCAGCCATACACACACACACACACACACACACACACACACTTCATTTACTATATTTATATCCTGGCTTTCTCTACCCCGAAGGGGACTCAAGGTGGCTTACAGATAGGCAATAATGCAATACCTCAACAACAATATAGAATTAAAATAAACAAGTGAATTAAAATACATTTAAGCATTTGAATTATATTAAAATATTTTAAAAACATTACAATCAGTGTAAAACCATGCTATCTGCAATCATAATCCAGGTCATTGCACATAATTCCAGTCCATCAATTACACTATGGTTCTTTTCTAAAGGCTTGATCCCAGAGACACGTTTTCACGCTCTTTCTGAAGGTCAGGAGGGAGTGGGCTGATCTAACGTCGCCAAGGAGGGAGTTCCACTGCTGTGGGGTCACCACTGAGAAGGTCCTGTCTCTCATTCCCACCAATCGTGCCTGTGAAGGAGGTGGGAACAAGAGCAGGGCCTCCCCGGACAATCTTAACCTCTGAGATGGTTTATAGGGAGAGTAAAGGTTTCCCCTGACATTCAGTTTAGTCAGGTCCTACAAGGTGATTTGGTATGCCCATACCACCAAGAACTTGCCACAATTTATTATGATCCACACAGTCAACGGCTTTGGAATAGTCAATGAAGCAGAAATAGATGTTTTTCTGAAGCTCCCTGCCTTTCTCCATGATCTCTTTCTCTATATATATGTGTGTGTATGTCTGAATTTTATTGGCTAAATAAAGTTAAAGTACACCTTTTGAATCAATTGGTGACTGGCAAATCAACACAAAAGTAAATCATGTTGAGTCATTAGACCTACTCGAATTGGGACGAACAATAGAATTTAGTCACCATATACACATGATAAGTAAAGGTAAAGGATTCCCCTTGACATGAAGTCTAGTTGTGTCCATATTTTTGAACTACTAGGTTGGCTGAAGCTGGGGCTAACAATGGGAGCTCACTCTGTCCACAGATAGAATACACCTATGCAACAGTTAGTTAAAATACACCTATGCAACAGCAGTTGAATGGTGACTCAACACACAGGTCAATCCAAGTTCTTACTGTCCTCTGGGAGATGCTAGCGGGGTACAAATAAAGTTAATAATAATTAATAAATAATATATAAATACGCTAATTTAACCTGAGAAGTCAGCCATAGTAGAGCATCTGATGATCCAACCTGGACACAGCATATTATTCGAGAACACAGAAATGCTGGACCACTCTCACAACCACCATGTCAGACTACACAGAGAAGCCATTGAAATCCACAAGCATGTGGACAATTTCAACACAAAGGAGGAAATCATGAAAATGAACAAAATCTGGCTACCAGTATTAAAAAAAACTCTAAAATTACAACAGCACAACAACAGAGAGGAAACAAACAAGGATATCTAATCACCTCTCAACAAAAGTTTGCTCCAGGCACTGTCAAGCCATTATATGCTAATCAAGGTGGTCAGTTGAAACATTCACACCTAGCTCCAGCAGACAAGAGTCCTTTGTCCACCCTGGTCATTCCACAGATATATAAACCCTTTTTCCTAGTTCCAACAGACCTCACTACCTCTGAGGATGCTTGCCATAGATGCAGGCGAAACGTCAGGAGAGAATGCCTGTAGACCATGGCCATATAGCCCGAAAAAACCTACAACAACCCAGTGATTCTGGCCATAGAAGCCTTCGACAATACATATAAATAAAGTTTTGTTTGTTTGTTTGTTTTCTGTTGCCCTGGAAACAGAGGCGGCCCTAGGTAATTTTCAATGGTAAGCAAACAGTATTCCCCCCCCCCCCACCAATCACTGATATATATTTTCTGTTTGTTGTGGGAGTTCTGTGTGCCATATTTGGTTCAATTCCATCATTGGTGGAGTTCAGAATGCTCTTTGATTGTAGGTGAACTATACATCCCAGTAACTACAACTCGCATATGTCAAGGTCTATTTTCCCCCAGGAGCGCCTCAAGAGTGCCCCTGGGCAAAATCAACTATACTGCAAATGCTTACTTTACGTAATGGGTTGCTGAGACTCCCCCCGGACTGCTAGGGCTGTTGTGAGCCGAGGGGGCGCTCCTCAAGTGGCGGTCGAGGGGCATTTACAGAGGCGCCTCTGCGCCCCTGGCAAAAAAAAGTGTACTGCGACCGCTTACTTTGCGTAATGGACGAGCCGCCCCTGCCTGGAGACTAAGAGCCGTAGCAAACTACTGGAAGCGAGAGCAAGCTTGTGCTCGAGCTCGCTCCGAAGCCCTGCCTTTTTTCCCCGAGGCTGCTCTCTCTCTTGCTAGTGTGCCTGTTTTCCCTTGCTAGGGAAGCGATGCGAGTGTACTCTCGCAGTTGGCAGAATTCAACTGTGAGCGTACGCTCGCATCCCTGCCCTCTGCAATGGAAAACAGGCACGCTAGCAAGAGAGAGAGCAGCCTCGGGGAAAAAAGGCGGGGCTTCGGAGCAAGCCCGAGCGCAAGCTTCCTGTAGTTTGCTGCGGCACGAGCGTATGCTCGCAACGCTGCCCTAGCAAAGGGAAAGAGGCGGAGAAAGAGGCGGAGCATCGCTTGTGCTGGCTTAGTTTGGTCTCGCAAAATCCTAGTTTGCTACGGCTCTAAGATACAATAGAACAATGGCTTCAAACTTACAGGACAGGAGATTCCATCTGAACATTAGGAAGAACTTCCTAACTGTGAGAGCTGTTCAGCAGTGGAACTCTCTGCCTCAAAGTGTGGTGGAGGGTCCATCTTTAGAGTATTTTAAGCAGAGGCTGGATGGTTTAGATGCTTTAGATGTGGTTTTTCTGCTTCTTGGCAGAATGGGGTTGGACTGGATGGCCCACGAGGTCTCTTCCAACTCTGTGATTCTATGACAACAACAATAACAACAACCCTTTCCTTACCCGCCTCCTTTTGTCCATGGTTTCATAGTAAATATTGGCGAACTCTTCCGCTGCTTTGCAGGCCTGGTCCACGTAGGTTTTAAAGTCCTGTCAAACAGAGAAGAGACCAAAGAAAACAATGATCCAGAGGAAAATCCATTCAATTCTTTTAGAATATGTAAAGAGCTCCCTCCCCGACCCATTCCCCCTTGTTTTGGGCCTGTCTCCCTTACCACCGAGGCGGCCATGCGAGAAGAAAGGCAGAGGTTCCTCTTTCTCAAACGAAACAGGCAGCAAGCCGGAAGCGGAAACTCATTCCCAAGCTACTTCCGGTGGTTCCTCTCCTGTACACCATCCGGCGAGGGACAGAGACGCAACTCAGGTAGTTCCAGCTTCAATCTAGCTCTGATTGGACGAGAGGAAAAGGGGAGAGTCGGCCGAGGAAACAAACAGGCTTAGAGCGACACCTTTTGGACAGAGTTATTATTGGGTTGCTGGGAGTTTTCCCAGCTGTCTGGGCTATGTTCCAGAAACATTCTCTCCTGACGTTTCGCCCACATCTATGGCAGGCATCCTCAGAGGTTGTGAGGCCTGTTGGAAACTAGGAACCACCAAATATCTGTGGAATAATGTCCAGGGTGGGAGAAAGAACTCTTGTCTGCTTGAGACAAGTGTAAATGTTGCAATTGGCCACCTTGATTAGCATTGAATAGCCTAACAGCTTCAAAGCCTGGCTGCTTCCTGCCTTGTGGAATCCTTTGTAGGAAATTGTTAGCTGGCTGACTGTTTTCTGTCTGGATTTTCTCTTGATTTGCATTGAATGGCCTTGCAGCTTCAAAGCCTGGCTGCTTCCTGCCTTGGGGAATCCTTTGTTGGGAGGTGTTAGCTGGTCCTAGGAGCCCCCGATGGCACAGTGGGTCACACCCTTGTGCCGCAGGACTGAAGACCGACAGGTCGCAGGTTCGAATCCGGGGAGAGGCGGATGAGCTCCCTCTATCAGCTCCAGCTCCTCATGCGGGGACATGAGAGAAGCCTCCCACAAGGATGGTAAAAACATCAAATCATCTGGGCGTCCCCTGGGCAACGTCCTTGCAGACGGCCAATTCTCTCACACCAGAAGCGACTTGCAGTTTCTCAAGTCACTCCTGACACGACCAAATAAAATACAATAAAATAAAAAAAGGAAGGAAGGAAGGAAGGAAGGAGGGAAGGAGGGAAGGAAGGAAGCTGGCCCTAACAGTTTCCTGTCTGGAATTCCCCTGTTTTCTGGAAGTTGTTCTTTATTCAATGTTTTGATTTTAGAGGGTTTTTAAAATACTGGTAACCAGATTTTGTTCGTTTTCATAGTTTCCTCCTTTCTGTTGAAATGATCCACATGCTTGTAGATTTCAATGGCTTCTCTGTGGAAGCCATTGAAATGTGGAAGGAGAATTCCAGACAAGAATCAATCAGGGCCAGATAACACCTCCCCCCCCCCCCCCCCCCCAAAAAAAAAAAAAAAGATTCCCCCAGACAGGAAGCAGCCAGGCCTTGAAACTGTAGGCCATTAAATGCTAATCAAGATGATCAATTGCAGCATTCACACTTGCCTCAAGCAGACAAGGGTCCTTTCTCCCACCCTGGACATTCCACAGATATATAAACCCTACTTGCTTAATTTGCAACAGACCTCACAATCTTTGAGGGTGCCTACCATAGATTTGGGTGAAATGTCAGGAGATAATGCTTCTGGAACATGGTCATACAGCTCAGAAAACCCACAGCAACTCAGAAACAATGCTGAAGCATCTCTCCTCCCCTTTCAGAAGTAAGATTTTAAAAAAATGCAACAGAAAACAACAGAATTTATTTCCTCATTTAATAGTCGCATCCTTTTTTGATGGGAAAAGGGGGGAGTAAAGTGAGATTATTATGCAGTGAAATGCTGTTTATATTAAACATCCAATTTCTTTGGAGCCCCTGGTGGTGTAGTGGGTTAAACCCCTGTGCCGGCAGGACTGAAGACCGACAGGTCACAGGTTCGAATCCGAGGAGAGCGTGGATGAGCTCCCTTTGTCAACTCCAGCTCCTCATGCGGGGACATGAGAGAAGCCTCCCACAAGGATGGTAAAACATCAAAACATCCGGGCGTCCCCTGAGCAACGTTCTTGCAGACAGCCAATTATCTCACACCAGAAGCGATTTGCAGTTTCTCAAGTCACTCCTGACACAACAAAAAAAATCTCTCTTCTGGAGCATTATCTGCTGCGTTGGAGCATTTCTTCTGCTTTGTTTTTCACCACTGGAGACCTCAGGGGCTGTTTACTTCACAAGGCTGCATTCCTCTTCCTCTGGAATGAAAGGAATTTGAAATGGGGGTAGGTCAGAGGTCACTTTCCAACGAGATGTAAACAGGCAGGAACAGTGTTCACAGATGAGAAGTGGTGAAACAAGATCAGGAAGATGGCCAAAGGTGTTCAGGAGGAGGGACATGCAGGTGAGGAGGAGCTGCAGCAGTTTGCCTTTGCCTTGTTCTTCTGGGAAGGGCTAAGCTTTGCAGTCACTCTCCTCTCCCCAATGCAGCATGAACTCTCTTTTTGCACTTCGAACTCAGTTTGCAGCACTTGGAAGTGAGAGGAAGGATGGGAAATGGGGATGTTTCAGAAGTATTTGAAGAAAAAGAATAGGTTAGCAGAGGATTTACTTTGAAAAACAGGATGAACTGGCAAATTAAGGGGATTGGAGCGTATGAGTTTGGTAAAGCTTTTCATTGCTGCATCCTGAGCTTCCACTTTTTTTGCAAAAGCAGCACACCCATTGAGTTGTTGTAGGTTTTTCGGGCTATATTGTCATGTTCTAGAAGCATTTTCTCCTGATGTTTCATCTGCATCTATGGCAAGCATCCTCAGAGGTTGTGCGCATTCACATTGTTCTATTACAGATATTTTGAAGGCAACAGAAAAGGGTGATGAAGCAAGATTTATGGCAAAGCGAATTTGGCAAATGAACCTAAGAGTTGCCTCTCACGGGCGGCAGCCAGGTTACTAACCGGTGCTTCTTGCAGGGAGCGGTCAACCCTCCTGTTCAAGGAGCTCCGTTGGCTGCCGTTCATTTTCCGGTCCCAATTCAAGGTGCAGGTTCTTACCTACAAAGTTCTGAACGGTTTGGGACCCTCCTACCTGCGTGACCGCATTTCTGTGTATGAACCCACACGACCTCTTCGATCATCTGGAGATGATCACGCTCCCACCTCCATCGCAAGCGCGATTGGTGGGGATGAGGGAGAGGGCCTTCTCGGTGGTTGCCCCTCGACTCTGGAATTCATTTCCCAAGGACATCAGGCATACCCCAACTCTGGCCTGAAAATGTGGCTGTTCCAGTGTGCCTTCCCAGACTAAGGAAACTCTCAGCAATATGTCCTCTAAATGCACTTTATTACTGATTTAGGATTGCTTGCACACCCCATCCCTCTCTGAAAACTCTATCCCAGTTATAAGTTACCTGTTCATGCCCAGCATTATTTTTAAAATTTTAATTATTACATTTGGCCCAGCCATAGGTTTTTTTTAAACATTTATTGTGCTACTGTCAATGTTTATTGCTTAATTTTTGTTTATAAGATTTATTTTAATTGTTTTGTATTGTTTATTTGTTATTGCTTTTATTATTGATGTATTGTGGGCTCGGCCTCATGTAAGCCGCACCGAGTCCCTTGGGGAGATGGTAGCGAGGTATAAATAAAGGTATTATTATTATTATTATTATTATTATTATTATTATTATTATTGAACAGACAGACCTAGGAGTCTTAGGTAGACCACAAGCCTAACATGAGCCAACAGTGTGATGTTGCAACTAAAAAGGCCAAAGAGATTCCAGTCTGCTCAATAAAAGTGTATTTTTGAGATCAAGGGAAGTCGTAGCCCTGCTCTCTTCTGCTTTGTCCAGACCTCTGTGTCCAGCAGGTCTGCACAAAGCAATTCAATAAGGAGATGGATAAGAGGGGAAGCGTTCATAGGAAAGCAACTAAAATGAGCAAAGTTTTAGATGCTAAGCCTTATGAGCAATGGCTTGGGGTGTTGGGTATGTTTAAATTGGATGAGAAAAGGCTAAGCGAAGGGGACATGATAAATATTGGAAAGGATGTCCCATTGAGGAGAGACCAGGCTTGTTTTCTGTAGGGATGCAATGGAGCCATGGATTCAGATAATGTGGATTATCTGCTTTGATCATCGGGATTGTGTTGCAGTGTAGAAGGGGCCTTGGAGATACTCAAGCCTAAACACGCAAGTGATTTGTGTTTCATATGCACCTTATGCACACAGCCTGAAGGTCATTTAATACTGGTCAGTGACCATAGTAAAGTTTTGTTGTTGTTTATGCACCCATGTTTTTAAAAATAATTCTGTGCAATTTTTGCATACGTCAAACCACATCTGAAACAAAGGGTGTCGCTATCTCAGCCACCCCAAATTTTTGGATTTTGGATCGTGGATTAGGATCATGGATCAAGGGTTAGAAAGCATGATTATCAAGTTTGCAGATGACACCAAATTGGGAGGGATAGCTAATACTCCAGGAGACAGGAGCAGAATTCAAAATGATCTTAAGAGATTAGAGAGATGATTGGCCAAAACCAACAAAGTGAAGTTCAACAGAGACAAATGTAAGATACTCCACTTAGGCAGAAAAAAGGAAATACAAAGATACAGAATGGGGGACGTGTGGCTTGACAGCAGGACATGTGAAAAAGATCTTGGAGTTCTTGCGGACAGGAAGGTGAACATGAGCCAACAATGTGATGCGGCAGCTAAAAAAGGCCAATGGGATTATGGCCGGCATAAAGAGGAGTCTAGATCCGGAGAAGTCATACTCCCCCTCTATTCTGCCTTGGTCAGACCACACCTGGAA